GATACCCTTGTTCCTCAAACTCCATTAGCCACCCCATCATTGTGGCCTTTGTCAAAGATAAAGTCAGACGCTGGTTAAAGAGGTGAGGATGGATTTTTTTTTTTTTCAGCAGTAAACTACTGACAGAAGGAAGGGGTTCCAGTATGACCTGAAATCAACTTTATGGAAACAGAAGGCTGGAGACTTTCAAAAGGCAGGGAGGGGTGTGCTAAGGGAAGGCACTGAGGAGTGCTGAGGGCGGGGATGATCCATGTGACTAAGCCATCTGGGCTTGCTAATTGGAGCCTAACCAAGGGAAGAAACAAACTTCTATCTTTATGACCAGAGCTGGTTGTGCAAGTTAAACAAGGCACCCACCAAAGTTAGGCCTGTATCTTCCCACTCAGGAACTGGGATTGAGAGCCACAGTTCTCTCCCTGAATGTATGCATTTCAAAAAGACAGCTCTCCCATCTTCAGAGAAAGGGTTTGGGATGGTAGGTTTACATCTCAAAGGCAGAGAAAGTATAATTGCAAACTTTCTAAAGTAACTGCTGTAAGAGAGGGCTCAGGATCTATCTGTCTACCACCAGATTTGGGACTGGAACAAACAAAATTCTCCTGGCAGCCTTGAGCTTTTTCAGGAAGGGACTCTAAGGGGTCCTGGGGTCATTCTAGGGAATGTGGCCTTGAGCTGTTAGAAACAATGTTAGCGTTCAAGTCTCTAAGTGTGTGTACACAGGAGGTGTGGGGGATGAAATCATTTGTGCTGAGAGTATGCAGTTTTTATAGGCCAAGGTTGAGGCCTAGCTGAGAATAGTGCTCAGGTGAGCATGACTAGAATTTGGTCAAGGAGAGAGTCTTGGTCACGTTTTCACTGGCCTTCTCTCCTTAGTCCCCAGCCTCAGAACATTTGCTGACTCCTCTCTATATTCTTTCCCTCCAAGATTATCCCCAAGGAATATTAAATTCTTCTCTATTTTTCAGAAGAACTCAGGCTACCAAACTCCTTCCCAGATTCCCAAACTTGGGTCTAAGAGCATCTTTCCTTGTCTAACCCCACCAATGGTAGAAAACAAAAAAGGCATGAGCAAGACCCAATTCCCTTCAGAGCAGTTGTAATTTTTTTAATGGTTTGTATTTAATAATGAGGAAGGACAAACAATATTTTAAAGCAAAAAGAATAATGTCAAAACGAGCGCCTCTGTACTCACCACTCTCTTTAAAAAAAAAAAAAGGATAACCCCTTTGCCAGCCCTTCTCAGACTCTTGCCCCCCCATGCAGCAGTAATCACTAGACTGAATTTCACATTACTTATTCCCTAGCTCCTCTTTATAGTTTTACCACACAGATCATTTTTGAACTTTGTATAAATGGAATCATGCTGTATATATTCTTCTAAGATTTGCTTTTATTCACTCAACATATGCCTGAGGTTAACTCGCTTGTGTAGGGGTATAAATCTGTTTTTCCATTGCTAGCACATTTTATTGTATGAACATTTTGGAATATATTTATCCTTTGTACTGTTAAAGGTCACCTAGGTTCTTCCTAGTTTTTACTGTAACGACAAGGTTATTAGTAAATATTTTAGGGTTTATGGACCACAAAGTGTCTGTCAGAACTATTTAATTCTGCCTTTGCCACATGAAAATAGCTACAGACAATACATAAACAAACTTGGCTATATTCCAATAAAACTTTATTTATGGACACTGAAATTTGAACTTCATATAATTTATATATGTCACAAGAATTCCGGCCTCTCGTCATGGAGACAGAGAGAAGTGGACAGGGTTGAGAAATACTTAAAAACTAGAACCCAGAGCACCTGGCTGGCTCAGTCAGTGGAGTATGCAACTCTTGATCTTGAACTCTTGACCCACCACATTGGGTGTAGAGATTACTTTTTAAAAAACAAAAAGTACAACCCAAGGGACTTGGTGGCTGATTGATTTATGGGGGATGAAGGAGAGGGAGGTGTCAAGGATGCTGCCTAGTTTACTAGCCTGGTCAGTGGGTGAAGAGGTAATGAATTAGTGTAGTGAACATGAGAAGAGGAACATATTTGGGAGGGATGATGGTGAGTTCATTTGGGGGCATACTAAGTTGGATTTGAAGCAGAGAGGAATAGGGGCTAGAAATACGGATTTTGGAGTCATCAGCATAGAGTTGTTCACTGAAGTATTAGGGCTTTATGAGCCAGCCAGGTGAAGGAGATTTGGATGGCAAGGTGGTGCTGGCTGTTGGCAGGAGGCCTTTTTACATCTTAACACGTAGACCCTTCTATAAAGCTGCTGGAGGGCAGGGGTTTACCCAAGAACTAGTGACCCAAGAGAGAGCAAGACAGAAATAGCAATGTCTTTTATGACCTGTCCTATCTACAATATCCTACTGGTTATACAGGTTAGTCCTCTTCAGTGGGGGAGGGGAATACACAAGTTATGAACACCAGGAAGCAAAAATCATTGGGGGCTATCTTAGAGGCTGGCTACTACAATCTGGATGGTTGCTTCCATCTGTTTTCTCCCATGACACTAACTTTTTGAAGAGAACAGGCCAGTTGGCTTTTAGATTGTCCCACATTCTGGATTTGTCTGATTGTTTCATCCAGTTGTAATTTAACTTAGTTCTCTCTCCTCCATGTCTTCTTAAGCCAGAAGTTAGATCTACACTTGATTAAATTGAGCTTAGCATTTTTGGCAAGCATACTTCATAGGTGACATTGTATATGTCATATTGCATTACAACCTGTAACAAAGCTTCAAATTAGCCCCCTTTTAGTGATGCTAAGTTTGATACTTGGTTATCTCTGAATGATTCATTTTAAGAGTAAGTTCTCTCCTTTGTATTATTACTTTGTTGATCTGGAGGGTAATACTTTGGGACTGCACAAATATCTGTTCCCCAAAACTCTTATCTGATGTTTTCAACATTTTATATCCCTATTCCCTCCACTTTCCTGCCTATAGATAACCATTTGTTTTCTGTTTATCCTTCTAGTGGTTAAACAGATACAGTCAATGATCATTACTTATGCATTCCATATTTGTGAATTTACCTACTTGATAAAATTTATTTGTAACTCCCAAATCATACTGGGGGTCTTCACAGTCATTTGAAGACATGCACAGAGCAGTGAAAAATTTTAGTTGCCTATCACACACGTTCGTGGCTGAGATTGAACAAGATGACACTGTTTTCTTTCTTCATCTCTCATCCTATAAACAAGTGTCTATGCCACATTTTCTGCATTTTTATGATTTTTGTTGGTGATTTTGCTGTTTAAAATGGCCTCCAAGCATAGTGTGAAAGTGCTTTCTAGTGTTCCAAGGCACACGAAGCCTGTGATCTGCCTTAGGGAGAAAATACATATGTTAGATAAGCTTCCTTCAGGCATGAATAATAGTGCTATTGGTCTTGAGTTCAAAGTTAATGAATCAATTACATATTGAGGGTGCCTTGAAATAGAAACACCCATCAAACAAGGTTATATATTGGTTAGTTGATGAAAATGTTGTGACCAGATACTCACAAGAACCTAGCCCTCTATTTCCTCTAGAAGCAATGATTAAATATTTGCTAATGCAGTGTTGGTGGTGACATTATAGAACATTACCTCAAATGATGAGAATCAGACTGTATGTTTCTCTATTTTTATTTCTTCACCTTTCTTACATAAACGTTCAAATTTTCTTTGCAATGCTTTTGTCCTCAGAATATATTTCACTGAAAGTATACAGAGAACTCTGTTCAATAATCAGTTTTCTCTATGATGTTATAGTTCCAATTTAATGTACAGTTAGGTGTATTGATTTGGGTGTGCTTTCAATTTTAAGTTTACTTTTTTCTTTTCTATTTTTTGAGTATGTAAAACATATAAATGGGTCTATGGTTGAAAGTCTTACTAGGAAGAAAGTCTCACTTCCATCCTTATCCCATCCTGTCCTTTACAGTGAGCCATTTTGGGGCTCTTGGGTGGCTCTGTTGGTTAAGCCTCCGACTCTTGATCTCAGGGTCCTGAGTTCAAGCCCTGCATTGGGCTCCATGCTGGGCATGGAGCTTACTTTAAAAAAAAAAAAAAAAAGATACAGTTAGCCATTTTTTCAGTGTCTAGTGTAACATTCAGGTTTTTAAAAACACAAAATCAAGTAAATACATATACATGTATGTATTGTATTCTTATTTCCTCTCCTTTACCATATTTCAAAAAGTTAATCATGTATGCTGGAAGTCACTGTATATCAGTACTTAGAAATCGTCCTCATGTTTTATAAGGCTGCGTGTTCACTTATAAGCACTCGATGGTTTTGTTCAACTCATTGGAGCGTTTTTAAAGTGTGGCAGATTAACAGTGCACTTGCTGGAATCAGACTAAGTTCACATCACTTACCGAATGTTTCATCTTGAGGGAAGCATCTACCGTCTTTGCGTTGTTTTCTCACCTGTAAAATGAGGGTGTTGAAAAAATAGCACACGACCCCTTCAGTTTTATGAGCAATACAACAGTTAATACATTTCAAGCGCCGATGACTTTACGTGGAACAAAGGAAGCCCTCAACTTAAATACAAATCAGGGTGGGTGGGAATGGTGGTGATTTGCAGCAACTTCGAGTGAATGTCGGGGAAAACCTTGTGGCGACACAGAATATTTCCAGAGCCTGTGTGAAGTAGAGAACAGGAGTACATAGGGGCCCCCGGACCCAGGATGAGCCGGACGGGAGTCCCGGAAGATGACAGCAAGGAGGGCAGCGAGGTGACGGTAGGTCAATGATGAGCTTGGGATAGGGAAACACACTCCCAACCAGACACCAGGAAAGGACGCTTTAGCCCTTCAGTCTTCGGGCAACAAGAGTGCGGTGTCGTTTCCTCCTTTAGCCTACAGGATCGCGGGCTACAGCCCGCCAGGCACCCGGGGCCGCGAGCTCTCGTCTGGGGACTGGGTCGGAGGCGGAGCTTGAGGGTCCCGAGCCGGGGCTGGGACCCGGAGGGCGGGTGGGGCGGGGGCGGGGCGGGGCGGGGGCGGGGCAAACCCGGGAAGGGGCGGGGTCGCTGCCGTGGCGCCAAAAGGCGAACATGGCGCCGGAGCGGCTACGAAGCCGGGCGGTCTCTGCCTTTAAGCTGCGCGGCTTGCTGCTCCGGGGGTGAGTCTTCCCGGGGCAGTTAACGGGACGGGAAAGCCAGGGCCAGGCGACCGCGCCGGGCAGCCGTGCGCGCCGCGCGCCCGTCGGCGCTGGGCCTTAAATCACAGAGACCCTTAAAAAACTTGAAGAAGTGAAATTGATGTGGCAGGGTCTAAAGGCTGCGATTCCTTCTTAGGTTTCCCCGACGTTCGCGCGGAGTCGAGACGCTTCTCCCGGGTGGGATGTGGCTGTCCTTCGGCATGTGCCCCATTGAGCCGGAGAGGCGGCCGTTTATTGGCACTGTGACTTGGGCACTTAGCTCCCCTCCCCCAAGTCTGTGCCTTAGCAAAATGGGAATAATAGCAGAGCGACTTCACGTAGTTTGTGAATCATCAGTTGAGCGACCTGGGAAAGCCCATATGCGAGTCAGTAGTTGTCACCTTATTTTGTGAAAACTATGAGCCCTCCCCTTTCTCAATTTTGGGTTAGGTATTATTCCTGAGTGAGAATTCCCAGAGAGTTAAAAAGTGGGTAAGTTTGAAGCACGATCCTAGATCTCCCTCCTACCCCCTTAAGCATTCCCTTTAGAACTTATCTGATAGGTTTCCTGGCCATAATCATGTTTTCTTGTACTTACAGAATGCACTTTTCTAATATTTTTCTCACTAAGTCTGTTTTGTTTTTTAGAATACAGTATTTTTTTTTTTTTTTGGATACATATTTAAATACTTGCTGGATGGAATATACTTTTTTTGTATCAGGTTATGATTGCACTCGCTGTGTGTGGAGAGTTTTTGTTTTTGAAATAGTGAGTTTTATGAGCCTTTTAACTTTGCTTTTGGCTTAGTGGTGAACAAGGGCAAGAGTGGATATGCTCTGGGAGAAAATAACGAATTTTGTTCGATTGATCCCTGACATTTTACAAACATGAGCAGTTGATCAATTAACTTTTCTTTCTTTTCACTTAGAATTTGACCTAATATTCAGCTGTCATTCATTAATTAATTTAGTCAGAAATATGCTGAAATCCTGTCTACACAGATCTGAGCCAGATCACTATAGCTTTTACAGGCTTTGGTCTATCCTAAGATCACGGTGCTGGGGCAAGGAGTGCAAGAGAGAATAAGACACTGTGGAGCTTGGGGGACAGATAGCGTATTAGTTACTTATTGCCATGTAACAAATTACCCCAAAACTTAGAGGTTGAAAACAGCACACACTTAATATCTCATGTTTTCTGTGGGCCAGGAATTCAGATAGGCTTAGCTGGGTTCTCTTATTTCAGGGTCTCTCATAAAGCTGCAGTCAAGATAGGGTCATCTCAAATGTCAGTTGGACAGGATTTGCTTCCAAGCTCATTCAGTGGTTGGCAGGATTCAGTTCCACCAGGACTCTTGGACTTGGGGCCTCAGTCCTTGCTGGCTGTTGGCTGGAGGCCACCCTCAGTTCCTTGCCATGTGGTCCTCTCCAACATGGCAGCTTCCTTCATCAAAGCCAGCAAAAGAAAGAGTAAGACAGAAGTCACAGTCTTTTGTAACCTAATCAAGGAAGTGACATCTTGTTTTAAAAATTTTACTTTTAAAAATACAATACAAGAAAATGCTCCATTACTTTTACTATAGCCTATTGTTAGAAGCAAATTACTAGGTCCAGCCCATACTCAAGGCGAAGGGCTGCACATGGATGTTAGTACCAGGAGGCATGGGTTATTACGGGTTGTTTTAGGAGTCTGTCTACCATGGATATTAAGTAGTTCACAGTTATTTAGTTTCACTTGTGAAAAGGATCCCAAGAAAGAAGTGCTCTGATAATGTATAACAAGGTAACTGCTCTAGAGTTAAAGAAGGACTTCATTAAAGAAGTGGTTTGAACTGTGTTCAAGGATGAACAGGACTTGAGTAGGTGAAGAAAAGAGTGGGGAGAAATGACCATATAGAGGCCCTGAGGCAGGAGAGCACTGGAGGAGCCTAAGGAGATTTGGCAGGGGCCAGATCCTGTATCCTAAGAACTTTCCCACCATTCACCCAAAATGTGTGTGATTTTTAGGGACTTCTTACTCATCAAATATCTATGGAACACCTTCAGAATGCTTGGCACTCTGCCAGAGGATGGCACGGTTCTAGTTTTTAATTAGCATCATGATAAATTGGAGAGTCATGATACCCACACATAAAACAATCACTGAGCAACCCAAGTTAAGAACAATTAGTATGATGACTCTAACAATAACATTGACATTAAGTGTGAAGTTGTATTCTACAAACAGAATGGCATGCAATTAGCTAATTGTTTACACAGTCTTCATTCTGAGCCCAATTGGTATTTAAATCAGGGATTCGTATGGATTTTTTTTTTTTTTTTTAAGTTCAGCCTTATTGAGTTCTTTTGGAGCAGGGAGATTCTTGTGATTTCAATGAGTGTTGCTTCTATGACTATATTCATATGTCATAGTTTTTTCTAGTCTAATTTTCTAATTTTACAATTGAAAACAGTGATGAATTTACTGGAATTTACTTTAAGCAGATGCATTAGCAAATCAATAAATATATACTTAAGTGTCTGTTATGTTCAGGACATTGAAGCAAATGAAACCCTGACTTAAATGTAAGGTGATAACTGGTACAAAGCTATTGTGATGTGTCAGATCTGAGGTGTATAGGAATTTTAATAATTCAGAAGGGGGGGAGGTTGCAGCAGGTAGGGCTGGTCTAGGAAGGCTTCCTAAAAAAAGATGTGATTTGGGGCTTTAAGAATGGTTATGTTGGGGCGCCTGGGTGGCTCAGTGGTTGGGCAACTGCCTTCGGCTCAGGTCATGATCCCAGGGTCCTGGGATCGAGTCCCGCATCGGGCTCCCTGCTCCGCGGGAAGCCTGCTTCTCCCTCTCCCACTCCCCCTGCTTGTGTTCCTGCTCTCGCTGTCTCTGTCTCTGTCAAATAAATAAATAAAAATCTTTAAAAAAAAAAAAAAAAAAAAGAATGGTTATGTTGCAGGGGAGAAAAGGAAGAATTTGTTCAGAAAGGACAGGGAGAGGTGAGCACTGCTTGCAGCGAAGAGTGAATAGATTTTAATTTTAATGCCACATTGATGAGTGTTTGTCAGTTTTGGGCATAAAACTTTGAGCCTCATCTTTTCTTTCTGTCCCAGTGAAGCCATTAAGTACCTCACAGAAGCTCTTGAATCTATCAGTGAAGTAGAGCTTGAAGATGCACTGGAGAAGATCATCGATGCAGTTGAAAAGCAACCGTGTAAGTAATATTTTCTGATAGCTCTCACATTGTTAATATAGTTCTACATTCTCGATTAGATTTATAGATTTAAGAGGAAGTTGAGGATTCCATATTAAGATATTCCAGTGATATGAGACATACCCATGGTAGCACTTCTTCCCAAGGGGTAACCTCTGGTTCCGTTGCAACTTCAGGACGTTCCCCAGAGACCCTTACAGTTCTTTCCCCTCACAGAGCTCTCACTGCTAGCTGTCCTGCCCTTGACTTCTGATTCTGATCTGGTCCCTACGGTCACTCTTATCTCTCTGCATGCCTACTACTTTGCCTTACTGAGGTTCAGTACTCCTAAAAGTTTTTTGGGGAAAAAAGAATAAGTGAGCAGGGCTAATTCTTCCTTCTGGCTTCAGCCTTTCTCGAGGGATCTTTCTGTTAAATACTTAACCTTTTACCACAAGCCTGGGCCTACAAAGGAGAAATGCTTTTCTTCTAGGTACAGACGTCCAGTGTTTCTAGAACACTGAGGGACAGAAGCAGGTATGGCTTGCTCTCAGGTGTTGTATCGATGCTAGTTTCTTCAATTTTGTAGGAGGACATATGTTCCATGATACAGGAGAGATTACCATTATGTCTCATTTTCAATTCTAAAGGCAGAATTTTAAATATACCTTTGCTTTTAAAAACTGCTTTATAGTTGAAAATTTAGAAAATTATTAATTGTGAAAAAGTAGTATATATTCCTTTAAGATGGCGCATAGTATTTTGCCTGAGAACATAACAAAGTGTTCAAGGGTGCCCACTCTGGAATCAGGTGTGGGTTTGTGTTGCCATATATATTTTCTAGCTGGGCAATTTATTCAGTCTCTCAAAGTTGCACTTCCTCCCCCTTTTACATATTAGCATATGAACAACAATCTATCTATAAGGACAGCTAATCTAATGGCATAATGCTTGTGAAGTATTGAGCATAGTGTCACACATTTATTGAGGGCTTAATAAGTGGTAGCTATTATATCTGCTACTATCATGCCTATGGAAATGTAGCATTGGTGATAGAAAGTTCTACTAATGTAACCTTCTTGGACCTAGGAGTTTACAGAAGTGTTTGTATAACTGAATTTATATTATTAGACAGTATTTAGAAAAGTAAGTCATTTGGCTATGTATTAAGATATTATAAGCGTATTTGAGTGTAGGAGATGAAGGTTTTTTGAGATATGGCTTGTATTATTGTTCTGACCTAACCCTTTTTTTTGTCCTGAAAACTATGTAATGAGAATCTCAGTGTTAGTCTTTGCAGATTATTTTTAGGAAAAAAGCTATCTGTGGAAATAAGTAAATTTTATGCCTGTTTCTAAGATTGAACTTCAAGATTCTCTTTTCAGTGTCATCAAACATGATCGAACGGTCTGTGGTGGAAGCGGCGGTCCAGGAATGCAGTCAGTCTGTAGACGAAACTATGTATGTGGATAAAATGAACTTTTCCCCCTGCTGGCGATATGAAGTGTTTATTTATTTTTTTTTTTTTAAAGATTTTATTTATTTATTTGACAGAGAGACACAGCGAGAGAGGGAACACAAGCAGGGGGAGCGGGAAAAGGAGAAGCAGGCTTCCCGCAGAGCAGGGAGCCCGATGTGGGGCTCGATCCCAGGATCCTGGGATCATTACCTTAGCCGAAGGCAGACGCTTAACAAATGAGCCACCCAGGTGCCCCTGAAGTGCTTATTTTAAATGATTTTCTTGGGGAAAGAATTAGTGGTCAGTATTTTTACAGTGGTTATTTCTTAGTGTTTCTTCTTAAGTGATAGCTTGCATTATAAACCTCATTAAGTGACTCATCTTTACTACTTTTTCCTGGGGATTTGAGGTTACAGTGTTGTTTATACCATTACTAACTTTTGCCACTACCCATCGGATCTGACTTTATATTCTGTATGCTGCCAACAAATTGAATTGAATATTCAGAAGTATACTTTTGCTTTTGCTCTTAGGAAAGTGCAGTGTCCAGAGAAATTCAGCGACTTACGTTGGGTCACATGGTAAATGGCAGGGAGGGTATAACCTTAGTTTTATGATTCTTTCCACTAACTCATGTTATGAGAGCTTAGGAATTTATATGGCAATAATTTTTCTGGGTTTTATTTCTAAGTGTCCCTCTTTCCTTTCCTCTTTTGAATATGATACTTCTTTCCAAATTCACAGGATTTAACTGGGAGGAGAACAACTGGGAAAATGGATAGAGAGTATTAACTTTAATAGTTTTTTTTTTTTTAAAGATTTTTTATTTATTTATCTGACAGAGAGAGACACAGCGAGAGAGAGAACACAAGCAGGGGGAGTGGGAGAGGGAGAAGCAGGCTCTCCACTGAGCAGGGAGCCCGATGCGGGGCTCGATCCCAGGACCCTGGGATCATGACCTGAGCCGAAGGCAGATGCTTAACGACTGAGCCACCCAGGCGCCCTAACTTTAATAGTTTTTTCCTCTTTGGGGCAATGGGGATCATTGGCAGGAGTCATTACCGTAAGAAAACAGAGAAATTGAGGAATTTTATTTATTTATTTATTTATTTATTTATTTATTTAAAATATTTTATTTATTTGACAGAAAGAGAGAGAGAGAGTACAAGCAGGGGGAGGGGCAGGCAGAGGGGGAGGGCGAAGCAGACTCCTCTCTGAGCAGGGAGCCTGATGCAGGGCTCAGTCCCAGGACCCTGGGATCATGACCTGAGCTGAAGGCAGCCACTTAGACTGAGCCACCACCCAGATGCCCCAAGAAATTGAGCAATTTTAATTTTCACCTTGCAAACTCATTACTTAAGATACTAGGGTACAATGACATACCCCTAAAGCCATCAATAGAAATTCAAAATGACTGTATCGAAGGGGAAGGATTGTAATCATAAAGTAAGCATTAAAGTTAACTCTTGTTTCTTTCTAGCTCTTTATATGCCACAGTTAGCCAATGCAGAGGTCCAGTGGGACTGAATGGTAAACAGTCTTTGCAACTTCAGCTGTCAGAAAATTATTATATTATAGCATAAGAGAGGCTTTCATTTTTATAGATGAAGAAGTGGCATGAGAAGTCAAATAACCTGTCAAGATTGACCCATAAAAAATGGTGGAACAGTACCTGGAATCTAGGTTTTCTTCAAGTCCATAGGTTCTCTGCTACTCTATACTAGGTGTTACCACCAGGGTAGCAAGAATGTTTTTGACCATATTCAATCTGGGAGATAAACAGGTAAAATTTTAGGGAAGGTTTTTTAGGTTGGAATATTTATGCAGTAGTGCTGTGAATCTTTTTAAAACTTCGTTCAAACACAGTTATGTTATTAACAGTGTCTAAAAGTAAGTTGTTGAATTTCTGTAACACTATAAGCGTCAAGGATGTGGCCAGTATTTTGGGGGTTCTTTTTCTATTTTATACCTGGTTTCTGGGACACTTTTGCGTAGTATTTTGGATTAAAAAATTGTTGGAAGTGAATTATATTCTTTAATAATATTATAGCTCATAACAGTAGTACCCATGGGGAGAGATTTCTTTCAAGATATAACTATTTTATACATACATGTTCTTTTTCAACAGATGACATTCTTAATTAGAAGTTAACTTGATGATGATGACGATGATGATTATTTTTGCTTGAGAGTGTTGGCAATGCTTTCTTGTCTCTGAGAGGAAGATTTTGCCCCCATATTCTGACCCTCTAAGAAATTATGTATATGACCTGTGGAAAGTACATTCGTATACCTTAAGATTATAATAAAGTTTTTATGCTCACCTAAAATTCTTATATTTTAGTAAATCAGGTCTGTGTTTTTGTGGGCTGTTTTTCAGAGAACATATTTTCAATATCATAGGAGCATTTGATATTCCACGCTTTGTGTACAGTTCAGAAAGAAAAAAATTTCTTCCGTAAGTATACCATCTATTGATTTTAAGCTCATTTCAGATGTACATTTCTTTCAGAAGGCATATAGTCCATGATTCATTTTTGGCCTACCTTTGTGTATTGTGATAGGTATAAATAGGCATTTCTTTCTTTCTAGTCTATTAATGACCAACCACCCTGCACCAAATTTATTTGGAACAGCAAGAGATAAAGCAGAGCTGTTTCATGAACGATATACCATTTTGCATCAGGTAAGCTGAGGGGGGAGATGAGACTGTATAAGCTTAGGTAAGACTTAGTGTTAATTAAAGGATGGAATTTTGTAGTCCAATGTTTGTCATTCAATGGACTCTTTTTGGGCTTTCTATGTTTGAAACCATATGGGGGATACAGAAATAAAAACAATGGTTTTTGTGATGATAAAAATAGCAGCTAATATTTATTACCTACTTTTAATATGCCGAGCACTGTGTTTAGCATGTTATGGACATACTTACCTCATTTAATCATCACAACGTCAGTGTATGTATAAATGCTACTATCCTCATTTTTTCCATTATTTTTTAAAAATATTATTTATTTATTTGACAGAGAGCGAGCACAAGGGGTGGGGGGTGGGTGGGGGTGGGCAGAGGTAGAGGGAGAAGCGGGGCTGATCTGGATCATGACCTGAGCCAAAGGCAGACACTTAGCTGACTGAGCCACCGAGGTGCCCCACTATTATCCTTATTTTACAGATGAGGAACTGAGACCTAGATAAGTTTAGGAACTTGACCAAAGATCACATATAGTCGGTATAGACAGGATTTGAATCCAGTGTGTCTGACTCTGGAGCCCAACCTTGGCCTACTACACTATACTAGCTTCTAGCAGCTTACAGTCTGTAAAGTTAAAGACACAAATAAATATAAAGTAGAATTTTATATGTGCTGTAAAAGAGATACAAACAGAATGTATTCATTGGAAAAAGAAAGGAAGCCTTTGGGGAAATGATGGTATTTGACATGGGCCTTGCCTGCTTTGATCTCGTGGTGGATCACGAAATGGTGAAAAGGTGGTGGTAAGAGTGTGAACAAAGACACAGCAAAGGGAAATAGTGGACTCTGCAGGAAATGATGAGCAGTTGGTCCATTTTGTGTTTGGAGGAAGGCTCATGAAGAAGAGTAGCATAGGATAGGTTTGGAAAGGCAAGTGGGAGCCAGATTGTGGGAACGCCTTGGATGCCGCTCTCGGCAGTTGGAATCTGGTTTCTTGGTACAAGGAGCCTTGGAATATCAGAGAGAGACCCAATCACAGCTGGGTTTTGTGAGCACTTCTCTCCCAGAAGATTTTGAGATGAATTAAGAATGCGAGAGAAGACTTAGGGGAGTCTGTGGTATTAGTCCTGCCAGAAATGACAGCTGGGGTGGGGGGGCAGGAAATGGCAAGGGTTGTAGACGGGGGACCCCACCGGAGCAGTGGAAGCCATCATTCATGTTGACTGAGTGGATGTGAAGGAGAAGGGAGAGAGCAAAACTCAGAGATGATTAAGGTTGTGAGTCCGAGAGAGTAGGACAGTAGAATAATACATTAACAAATAAGAAAAAGGGAATGTTGGGTGCCTGGGTGGCTCAGTCGTTAAGCGTCTGCCTTCGGCTCAGGTCATGATCCCAGGGTCCCGGGATCGAGTCCCACATTGGGCTCCCTGCTCGGCAGGAAGCCTGCTTCTCCCTCTCCCACTCCCCCTGCTTGTGTTCCTGCTCTCGCTATCTCTCTGTCAAATAAATAAATAAAATCTTAAAAAAAAAAAAAAAGAAAAGGAAAGAAAAAGGGAATGTTGGGGAAGATGATGCAGATGATGCAGGTTCTGTTTTAAACATTTGAGTTAAGGTTGCCACTGGGATGTCAGGTGAAAAGTATACCTGGAGCTGAAGAAAGAGATCTGGGCAGAGAGAGATGTAGGGGCCATCTGCCCAGAGGAGTAGATAGAGCTGCAGGGATGGATGAGGCCCTTTGGGAAAGAGAGGCAGCTATGGGGAGGCGGCGGCAGAAGGGAAGAGGAGAGAATTGAGGGGGCCAGGCCAGGATGGTGTTAGATGGCAGAAGCGTAAGAAGGTTTCAAGGAGAGGATGGGCAGCAGGAGGAAGCCTGAAAAAGGATGAAGAGGGTGAGCACTGGGGATGCCTATTCTCTCCTGCTTCCATCACCTACATAATGTTGCCAGATCAGTCTTCCTGATGTAGAGCTCTGGTATTGTCGTGATTTTGCACAAAAGTCTTTCAAGAAGGAGGCTTACTGCCTATTGAATTAAATACAGATTATATTTAGTGTTTAAGATCTTCCACTGCATCTTTTTGGCCAGATCTCTACTTCTCCTCTAAAAGTTCCTCTGTGCTGAAACCAAAAATGAAATACAGAATTATTGTTCATTTCTTCTCCTTCTTCTGTAACTTTGCTTATACTATTCACTCTCTGGCCTGCTCTTCCCTCTTTTCTCTGCTACTGAAACCTTCCTAATTCTGGAAAGGCCTTAAATTCCTCCTCTTTTCTAAACCTCTTCTTGATCGGTTGGATGCAATCTCTTCCTGCTTTAAACCACTATGTCAGTATGTCTCCTACAGCATTTACTAGAGTTAGCCCTGCCTTGCGTTTGGGGTGTTTATCCCTGTTATCAGACACCCCTTGTTTATTTTCTCTGCCACATTTGGCACAGTGCTTTCCATAGAGAAGATGCTCAAGTAAATACCGCATTTCTTTTTTGTTTCTGTGCTCTATCTCATGACCCTGAGATCATGACCTGTGCTGAAATCAAGAGTCAGACGCTTAACTGACTGAGCCACCCAGGCACCCCTTAAAAATTACATTCTAAAGCCTATTATATTATTTTGGGTGTGTCACTTAACCCTTCTGAGCCTCATTTATTCTTATCTGTGAAATAAAAGGGTTGGATTTTAGTCCATTCACATTATTTATTGCAATTATCTCCCTGAGAGCAAATCTGATCGTATTATTATCCTACTTCAATATCTTTGTTTTCCATTGTCTATAAGATACACTTCCTGGCTTGGCATACAGTCTGTATTGTCAGGGCTCTTTTACTGGAGATTACAGAAACTCAGACCAACTAAAACAGAAAGAGGCATTTATTGGCTTTAGAGGTCCACCAGTTTCAAGCACGGCTGGATCCAGGATCTCACACGTCATGAAGCATCTATCTCTTTCCATCACCCAGCAATTTTTAAAAAATTGATTTTACTTTCAAACAAGTTCTCCCTATGAGATGACAGAGGCCCCTGTAGCCTCAGCAGCACTTGGAAAGGGAGCTCTTCTCTTCTCGTAGTTCTAGCAACAGTCTCCTAGCGGCTCTTAGCTTGAGGCGCTTGATCAACCCTGAACCATTCACTGGCTAAGGGGTGGAGGACTTTGATTGACTAGGCCTTAGTGGCCTGTTTACAGAAGGGGGAAGGGACACCAGTCCTGGCTAAACTCAGTGGACCACAGTGGGGCGGGGGGAATGGTTCCCCAAACAGAGGCTCCAGCTCATCTCTTACCTTGTCTGACACTCCACTTTGTGCACCTTGCGAGCCAACTATACTAAACTTTGTATCACTGCCCAAATACTCTTTTACTCTTGTAACTCTTTCTTGAGTTACAAGAAAGGGAACAAAGAGTATAGGAGTATAAAATCCCTTCCTCTGCCTGAAATGTCTTGTCTCTGGTTTCTTACTAGCAAAGTCTTATTTATCATTTAGGGTCTCGTTAAATGCCCCCTTTTGCCTGGGGTCCTTTGTTGTATGGTGGCCCTTGACTTTTCTCTCTCACAGACTCCTGTGCTCTGAGGCTGACACTTGGTTTTTGTCTTCATATCCTCAGCTGAGAGTGCACTGCTGCCAGCTACACAATAGAGCTTTTTCTTTTAAAAAAAAATTATTTTAAATACTTTTTTTATTTTCAAAATTGCATTGCTAAGTATTTGTATATTAAAATATGGGGGCTTTCAAATTTGTTGAGACTAGGGGGTAGTAACATTAGGTTAAGGACAGTGTTTTGTCAGAGTACTACTTTAATGAATTTTCAAATTTTATTTTAATGAATTTTAGTTTAAAATGTCTGATTCAGTAATTCATGTGAATCTTTCTTTTTTATAGAGGACCCACAGACATGAATTATTTACTCCTCCAGTGATAGGTTCTCACCCTGATGAAACCGGAAGCAAATTCCAGGTTAGAACATTACCCTAGTTGTTTAGGGGGTGTAAGTATACAAGTTAAATATTTGTTGCTTAATTTTAATTTATTAAAATTTAAATGTAAATGAATCACTGGTAACTGTTTAACCAACTAACTGACCTGGGCAGGCTCACTGTTAATCAAGTCCATGCTCTGGGTCCTGGGTCCTGCAAATCTCTAATAGAAGCTACCACTTCCTTCTTTGGGACAGGCCCTGAGACTGTGGTAGCCCCCAGATGGTCTCCGGCCACCAACACAGATCCCTAGTCCTCCTGGTCTATTTGCTGGATATGACATTGGCTTTCTGATCAACTATCAACATTACCCTTCCTCCCCTCACTCGAACTCCAAAATCCTGGTCTTGTTGCAGCCCATCCCTCTAGTGACCACCACACACTTACTCAGCTAAAACGTGCTCTATCCGTTGAAGTGAAAAGTTTACTTAAGGCAGTAAGGAAACAATATTTATAGGATAAATGAGATAGCCAGACAGGCCACAGGGGTGTTGGGGCCTGAGGAAGAGGTGAGAGGGAGAATTTTTTCTGTCACATGCACTCCTCCCACTTTTATACTCCTATACTCTTTGTTCCCTTTTGTTCCAGCAACACAGTCACTGTCAGGGTTGTGGGGTCGAGCCCCCTATCAGGCTCTGTGCTTAGCTCAGCATGGAGTCTGCTGGGACTCTCTCCCTCTCTCTCTGCCCCTCCCTACCCCCCCATCAAATAAATAAATAAATCTTAAAAAAAAAAAAAAGCATCAGAAAGTTTTTTTTTTTCTTTAGAGAGGGAGGGAGAGGGTGTGGGGGGAGGGGCAGAGGGAGAAGGAGAGAGAATTTTAAGCAGGCTCCTCACCCAGCATGGCTCTCACAACCCTGAGATCATGATCTGAGCTGAAATCAAGGGTCAGATATTTAACCAACTGAGCCACCCAGGCGCCCCAGAAAAGATTTTTAAAAATAGTGTCCTAATCATTACCACCTTTAACTTAATGAAAAAATATAATGGTCAGATTGAGAATGTAAATAATAATGACAACCTTCCAAAATACTAATATAACTTTTTAAATAGCCCACTAATTTGCAAGAGGTATTGACCAAATAAATAAAATTTATATTCTTTTCTATATTTTAAAGGTAAATGCACTTATCATTATTCAGAATACAGTAGTCCCTCTCTGTCCTTGGGGAATATGTTCCAAGACCCCCAGTGAATGCCTCAAGCCACAGATAGCACCAAAACCTGTATATACCATGTTTTTTCCTACACATACATACCTGTGATAAAGCTTAACTTATAAATTAGGGACAGTAAGAGATTCACAACAATAATTTATACTCAAATAGGACAATTATAACAATATACTGTAATAATTATTTGAATGTGGTCTCTCTCTCAAAATTTCTGATAGTATTGTAACTCACCTCCTTCTTGTGATGATGTGAGATGATAAAATGCCTACATGTTGAGATGAAGTGAGATAAATGATGTAAACATTATGACGTAACTTTAGACTACTACTGACCTTCTGACAATTCATCAGAAGGAGGACCATCTGCTTCTGGGCCATGGTTGACAGAGGGTAACTGAAATCACGAAAAGTGAAACTGTGGATAAGGGGGAACCTGCTGTAATATGGTATGAGACTTGAGTCATTGCTAAGAGCCTGAGTTGGTATTTTAGCTTTTTATAGGATAAATTCTATTTTCTGAGTTTTATTTGATTTTCTGCTGTACAGTGGTGTAAATACTGAAATGTGTACTCAAAATTTACCTATTTATAAAAATATTCGTTTCTTCAAAAAACTTATTTTCAGTCTTTAAGAATTTATTTTGTCTTATTTTAAGCTTAAAACAATAGAAACCCTCTTGGGCAGTACAACCAAAATTGGAGATGTGATTGTTCTTGGAATGATAACCCAATTAAAAGAGGTGAGTTAAACTTAATAAGCATCAGACTGGTTTTCAGCCTTGGGACTGGTGAAATGTCAGTTACTATAGCACTCCTGCGGAGTGTACAGGGCCGTGTTCTTCATGGAAGGCTCCTGCCTCAGTTAGCAAGTAGCCTTTGCCCCCGCATCCTGTTTCCTGACTAGACATCAGGAAGGAGAGTCTTATACAGGCCACTGATTTGCGTGGTCTGAAAGTAGTCCCCAGTGACCTCTGGTTGAACCAAGAGGACCGAGTTTCTGAACAAGCAAGGCTGCAGACCACATTCTGCTCCCTGGGAGAGGGACACTGTTGACTCTGTCAGGTGGAGGTATCTGGTGAGGCCCGCAGGGCAGTCCGCCAGCGTCCTGCTTGCCCTCTCTGGATTTGCAGCCGTCATTCTCCGTGTACCCTTGAGGAGGCTCAGTCTCAGTCAAGTGATGAATCTGAGGCGACCAGACTAGCAAAGGGAAACGCCTAGATGAGGAATTGCTCATTTTTAAAAAAGCTACTGTACTCTACTGTTTTCTGTTGTCAATGTTGTATTTTAATTATTTTCACCTAGTATTCATTTTTACATAAATACAGACATATTTCTTTTAACGTTTTTAGGGAAAATTTTTTCTGGAAGATCCTACAGGAACAGTACAACTGGATCTTAGTAAAGCTATATCCTTTTTATATATTTATTTATGGTTTTCTTTATTGAGATTTTTTTAAAAGATTTTATTTATTTATTTATTTATTTATTTATTTATTTATTTATTTATTTATTTATTTATTTATTTAAGGGACTGGCAACTTCTGAGGGAGAAGCAGGCTCCCCGGGAGCCCGATGTGGGACTCAATCCCAGGACCCTGGGATCATGACCTGAGCCGAAGGCAGTGGCTTAACCAACTAAGCCACCCAGGTGCCCTCTTTATTGAGATTGATGATAGTAGTTTTTTTTCATTTTTTAAAGATATTTATTTGAGAGAGAGAGATCATGAGCAGGGAGGAAGGACAGAGGGAGAGGGAGAAGCAGACTCCTCGCTGAGCAGGAAGCCCAGTGTGGGACCTGATCCCAGAACCCTGGGATCATGACCTGAGCCGAAAGCAGACACTTAACCGACTGAGCCACCCAGGTGCCCCTTTATTTTTATTTTTTTAAATCTATGTTACATGAATTGGAGATATTGATTCCATATCATCCTCAAGTTAGCCTATTTGGGTTCCCACTGTAACTTCCGTATAGCGATGATACAGCAATCCAGACCTAATCCTAGCCAGAGACAAAAAAAAACTTTAATTCTCCCTTATTTGGAGAATCCAAACAAATCACTGAGGAAGTTTAGAACATGTTAAGAATGCCATACTGTCACTTTTACCAAACTACATCTTAGAATCAGACATGGGACATTTAAACCTAAAATTTTTAAAGCTGTCATCTATTCACAGTTTCAAGTGTGAAGCCTTTGCATTTATTATTTAGAAGGCCTTTGGGCCCAGAATGTGTATTGACTTTATCATCACCTCAAGCACAGAAATATTTTCCTCAACTGTTGTGTACCAGTTCCACAGTGGCTTATACACAGAGTCATGCTTTGTCTTAGCAGAAGGTAAGTCAGTATACTTTTTTCCTGTCCTCCTCATCATATTACAATAAAAGCATTTCTACCTTGGTTAAAATATATTAACATAATTTGGGAGAACATTGCTTATAAGAGCATACTTTTGACAACATTAAATAACTCTCAGACTGGTAAATGGGCCTGAGGTTTCTTTTTGGGGTGATAAAAATATTCTGAAATCAGTGGTGATGGTTATACAACTTGTGAATATACTAAAAAAACCACTGAATTGTATACTTTAAAGGGTAAAGTGTAATGACATGTGAATTACATCTTAATAAAGTTGGAAAAAAACCCCCAGATTTTACATAGGGTCATAAAATGAAGCATTTCCTAAACTTTATACCTTATCTCTCTGTACTCTAACATGTATTGTGAAATTAAGAAGTGGCAAGTTTTACTTCTGAACCTATTTCTATTTCATGACCTTTTTTTTATATAGAACTGAGACTGTCTTTGGCTCTGAAGCTGTTATGTAGCTTGGGGGGACTGGCAACTTCTGTAGTTAGTTGACAGAGGGTGAGACAAAAGTTTAGCATTACTGCTTTGTGTTCCAGTTTCTTTCTTTCAAATGAGAAGGAGAATTGGACAAATGAAGGTGATTTGTTACTTATCTTTTTTCAGGTTGGTTTGAAGATCAGGTGTTTCATGTCAATGCCTTCGGATTTCCACCCACAGAACCCTCTAGTACTACGAGGTATAAGATGCTGGACTGCAGCTCTATGGGAATTTTGTAATATTGGCAGTAGTGAATGTAAGATAGGATATCGTATCTCAGTTATTATAAGGCCTCAGGCTTTGTGTCAGATGCAAAAAGTAATAGACAGTGAGAGTCAGAAGACTGGGCTGTGTATGTAACTGAAAACTAGCACATTGATTCCTGACAACTTTCAGTCTCATCTCCATACCTTGGCTTTTTATGGGAAAGATTTCTAGTCTTCCTGTCTCACTTATCTGTAAGGTTGATTAGAAGTTCAACTGAAATAAGAGATAGGAAAACACTTAGCGGAATATAACTTTCATGTTAACATAAAGACTTAATTTGTTTTCTACAAGTAGGCTCCCTGCCTGCTTATGATTTATTTTAATATTTGCTCTAGTCAGTTTTAAAAGACTCAGATACAACCTATTAAGTATTTATTTACTGTTTTTGTATTTCTTATTTTAGGACATTTAAATGTTTGTTTTTCAAGTGCTACAAATAGTATATTTTCATGGTACTATGTACACAGAGGGGAAAATAACCTCATTAGAGAGAAAGAAGCTAAATTTGTAAGATTATTAGAGAAACATCTCCAAAAAGGGGCACCTGGCTAGCTCGGTCAGTGGAGCATGCAACTCTCGATCTCTAGAGGTTACTTAAACATAAAATCTTAAAAAAGAACGAAAGAAAAAAAACCTCTCCAACAGAATATAGGGTAGAAGCTAATATTGTGTCATCATTACCTAGGGCATACTATGGAAATATTAATTTTTTTGGAGGGCCTTCTAATACGTCTGTGAAGACTTCTGCAAAACTTAAACAACTAGAAGAAGAGAATAAAGATGCCATGTTTGTGTTTATATCTGATGTTTGGTTAGACCAAGGAGAAGTGTTGGGCAAACTTCACACCATGTTTTCTGGTGGGTGCCATTCTTTTCTACTCTTTTGAACTCAGTACAAGGGGTCATATCTTAAAACTAAATTGTTAAAAAATGTATCTTTCTGAGTAGTCTATTTTCTTGTAAATGTTGATTCAGCAGTGAGGTATTTTATTTTTTATTTTTTTAGATTTTTTTTATTTATTTATTTGAGAGAGAGAATGAGAGAGAGCACATGAGAGGGGTTAGGGTCAGAGGAAGAAGCAGACTCCCTGCCAAACAGGGAGCCCGATGTGGGACTCGATCCAGGGACTCCAGGATCATGACCTGAGCCGAAGGCAGTCGCTTAACGAACTGAGCCACCCAGGCACCCCGTGAGGTATTTTAAATGAAACCATCTTAAACACTTAAATTTTTACATTTGAAAAATTACTCTGTGTGTTTGTGTGTGTATTCATGAGAAATAAGAATTAGTCCTAAGTATAGTATGACAATGGATAAGAGCTTGGGCTTTGGAGTCTGACAGGAGTGGGTTTAAATTGCAGCCTTAGACCTTGGGCAGGTTACTTAATCTCTCTCTTAGCTTATAGGGATGTTGTGAAAATCAAGCCATTGCAGATCCTGGCATATAGTAAGTGCTCAATAAATGGGCAGCATTGCTACTATTATTTAAAAATAATAGTTATTAAAATAAGTTATTATTAAACTAGTAAGTTTTTATTATTAAAAATTCAGGGGCGCCTGGGTGGCTCAGTTGGTTAAGCGACTGCCTTCGGCTCAGGTCATGATCCTGGAGTCCCGGGATCGAGTCCCACATCAGGCTCCCTGCTCAGCCGGGGGTCTGCTTCTCCCTCTGACCCTCTTCTCTCTCGTGCTCTCTGTCTCTCATTCTCTCTCTCTCAAATAAATAAATAAATAATTAAAAAAAAAATTCATGGTTAGGGGCACCTGGGTGGCTCATTTGGTTCAGCGTCTGCTTTCGGCTCAGGTCATGATTGTGGAGTCCCAGGATCGAGCCCTGCGTGGGTCTCCCTGCTCAGTGGGGAGTCTGCTTCTCCGTCTCCTGCTGTGCCCCCCACCCCAGCTCTTGTTCTCTCTCTCTCTCACTCACTTTCTCTCTAAAATAAATAAATAAAATCTTTAAAAAAAAATTCATGGTTCGTTTCAGTTGGTGGAGCATGAAACTCTTGATCTCAGGGTCATGAGTTCAAGCCCCATGTTGGACCTAGAGCTTACTTAAAAAAACAAAACAAAAAACCCCTTTAACTATGAGGGGTTTTAATCTGATTTCTAGACTCAAAAACTGATATTCATTTTATTCTCTTATTTTTAGGTTATTCACCAGCACCTCCAACCTGCTTTATTCTGTGTGGTAATTTTTTATCTGCACCATATGGAAAAAATCAAGTTCAAGCTTTGAAAGGTATTGAAGATCTACTGAATAAGTATTTCTACATTTATATAAACTAAACTGATAAGAAGTGATCTATAATGTTTTAATTTCATTTAAAAGCTGTAGGATTGTATCTAATCAAATATAATTTGATATTTGTGTGTATTATATTCAAATTAAATTTAATATCCCTTTAAAATTTTAGATTCCTTAAAAACTTTGGCAGACATAATATGTGAATATCCAAATATCCACCAGAGGTAATGATTTCTGCTATATTTTTTAAAGTTTTTTTTTTTTTTAAAGATTTTATTTATTTGACAGAGACACAGTGAGAGAGGGAACACAAGCAGGGGGAGTGGGAGAGGGAGAAGCAGGCTTCCCGCCGAGTAGGGAGCCCGATGTGGGGCTCCATCCCAGGACGCTGGGATCATGACCTGAGCCGAAGGCAGACGCTTAACGACTGAGCCACCCAGGCGCCCCTTAAAAGTTTTTTTTTTTAAAAAACAAAAAATGAATTCTGTTTGATATCCATGATTATTAAGAAAAAAATGAAAGAAAAATTTGAGAAAATTAGTATGCTAAGAGATAAAATTATCCTCATATCACGATAATGTATGTTACACTGTACTAGAGATTTATAGTGAAAAATATTAAAAGGAAGAGTGATACTTTCAACTATATTTTGAATTTCTTGGTGACATTAAATATCTAGAACCGCACTCTTTAGTATGATAGTCACTGGCCACATGTGTCTCTTTAAATTCAAATTATTTAAAGTTAAGTATAATTTACAATTCACTCACACTAGCCATAGTTCAAGCACTGGGTACTTGGACGGTGTATATACAGGCATCTCCATCACTACAGAAAGGTCTGCTGAACAGTGTTAGTCTGGAGACTTTTTTATTAAAATGCATGAAATTTAAAAAATATTAAAAATTCATTACTGAATTAAAGGCAATAACTTGTTTTTAGACTATTGGATAGTGTTGCAATAATTGGTTTTTTTTTAATGAATTATGTTAAATTTTGCTCTAGTAGTCGTTTTGTGTTTGTACCTGGTCCAGAGGATCCGGGATTTGGTTCCATCTTACCAAGGTAAGTTTTGTTTAGATTTTTCTAACAATAAAAAAAATTTGTACCATTCAAAGATATATTCTTTACCACATAAATTGTTTTTATAGGCCATCACTTGCTGAAAGCATCACTAATGAATTCAGACAAAGAGTGCCATTTTCAGTTTTTACTACTAATCCTTGCAGGTAAATATTACCGTTTTGTGTTACACTTTTTTTCCTTTCATTTTAAAATTAACTTGATTCTTTTTTTTTTTTTTAAAGATTTTATTTATTTATTTGACAGAGAGAGAGACAGCGAGAGAGGGAGTACAAGCAGGGGGAGCGGGAGAGGGAGAAGCAGGCTTCCCGCGGAGCAGGGAGCCCGATGCGGGACTCGATCCCAGGACCCTGGGATCATGACCTGAGCCGAAGGCAGACGCTTAACCATCTGAGCCACCCAGGCGCCCAAATTAACTTGATTCTTAAACCGTGTCTCCGAACTTTGAGTACTGTGAGATAGAGAAAATTTCTCTTTATTTTAGGTTTCTCCAAACTTTTTTTAAAAAATATTTTATTTATTTATTTGACAGAGAGACAGTGAGATAGAGAACACAAGCAGGGGGAGTGGGAGAGGGAGAAGCAAGTTCCCCGCCGAGCAGGGAGCCCGATGTGGGGCTCAATCCCAGGACCCTGGGATCATGACCTGAGCCAAAGGCAGATGCTTAACTGACTGAGCCACCCAGGCATCCCGGTTTCTCAAAATTTAAAAATATTTTAACATGATTTAATTGACTAATAATGAATTTAGAAGCTGAAAAACAGATGGAGATTTAAAAACTGATATACTCATTACACATCCTTTAAGAAAAGTTACAATGGATAAGTGAAAAGATTATGCATTTACTGCATGTGCCGCTCACTGTAATCATAGGCTGTTACCCCCAGTCCTTGGTTCTCCTCTCTTTTCTGCCTGCATTCACTCCTTTGGTGACCCTATCCACTCCCAAGGCTTTCAGTACCATCTACCTATCGCCCTGTCAGCTCCCGACCTGTTCTGTACCCTTCTTTATCAGAGTTTGTGGTACCTTTATCCTTCCAGTCACCCAGGCCAAAGACTTTTGGGTTTCTCTCACATGTAGTTTTTCAGGAAGTCCTTCAAAAATTTGAAGGAAGTCTTCAAAATATATGCAGAATCTGGCTGCCTCTCACCACCTCTGCCTCTATGACCCTCTACCATCTTCTCTCGCCTGGATTCCTGTGGTAGCCTCCTAGTTGGTCTCAAGCTTCTCCCCTTGCCCTCCTTCTACAGTCTGTTCTTAACGATGTGTCAGAGTGATCCTTTGACACACAGGCATATCACATCCTCCTTACTGATCCTGAAAGATGGGACCCCCTTGCGCCATTCAGTAACAGCCCGCATCCTGGCAGTGGTAGTCAGGGCCCTGCATGATCTAGCCTCCTGTGCCCTCTCCAAGTTCCTCCCTCCCTCATTTATTCCAGTCGCTACAGCCTCCTTTCTGTTCCTCAAACATGCCCGACATGCTCCATCTCGGGGCTCTGCTGTACCTGCTCCGTCTGCATGGTGTTCTTCCTTCACCTATCTGCTTGACTAAGTCTCTCGCCTCCTTCAAGTCTGTGCTCAAATCAGACTCCATTATCAGCCCTGCCTGTTTTGATCATCCCACTTAATAGTCCAGCCTTCTGGCCCTTTTCTCCTCACAGATGATCGATCCCTAATAGCCTGTTTTTCTTTTTCTGTTTTCTTTTTCCCATACAGTTACATACATACATCTCCCAATATCCTTATATAATTATCATGTTTATTGTTTATTTTCTCAGACTGTCCTGCCTCCATTAGAATATAAACTGCACGAGGACTGTGATCTTTTTGTTTTGTTCATTCATCCCTAGAATTGTGCCAGACACATATGAAGAGCTCAATAAATTACTGTTGAATGAGTGGATTAATAGATAGATTCTAGCTGAATTTTTGCTGTGGTAAACAATGGGAAGGGGGAATGGCTTTTATCATAAAACATTTTTTTTTTTTAAGATTTTATTTATTTATTTGAGACAGAGAGAATGAGAGAGAGAGAGCACATGAGAGGGGGGAGGGTCAGAGGGAGAAGCAGGCTCCCCGCCGAGCAGGGAGCCCGATGCGGGACTCGATCCAGGGACTCCAGGATCATGACCTGAGCCGAAGGCAGTCGCTTAACCAACTGAGCCACCCAGGCGCCCTATCATAAAACATTTTGCCTTTTAAACTATCTCCTATTTTTTCCTGAGGAAGTCAAATTCAACAACTATTTTCATTTCAGAATTCAATATTGTACACAAGAAATTATTGTCTTTCGTGAAGACTTAGTGAATAAAATGTGCAGAAACTGTGTCCGTTTTCCTAGTAGCAATTTGGATATTCCTAATCATGTAAGTTAAGAGTCTTCTTTATTAAACTGTCTTAAGTATTGCATTATATAAAATTTTTTTAAGCCACTTAATAATTTGCCCTTTTATGTTTGTTTATAGTTCAAAATAACTTGAACATACTTTTGTTAGTAAGTTAATTTTTGTTACTAAGTCAGTGTTTCTCAACTTTCTCACTGAAGTATCCCCTAATGGGCAGAGGAAAACCTTAGAACAAACAGGAAATTTTTTTGAAGCTTCCTATTTTGCTTTTAAAACTCATAAATCTTACGTTGTACTTCAAAATATATGTATATTTGTCTTAAAAAAAAATGCTTATGTTCCTCACATCCATTATATGGTATGTCCCCATCCCGGAGGATGTGTAGTGTTTTATCTTGTAACTTCAAGTTTCCCTGACATAAACTTGTCAATCCCCGGTTACATGTAACCCCTGTACCACTTTGGGAAATGTGGAAGTAGATCATACAGAGCATGTTTAGTATTTATTTTATAACATTAAAGTTTATGTAGGCTGCATATCTATTCTTGGCATTACTTAAGCTGTGGAATTATTTTTAGATGAACATAATTAGTAACTGAGTTTATTATACAGCTATAATTGTTCCAATATGACTATTTGGGGGAGTAGCTTTTATGATACATGGTATTAAATGAAAACTTACAGATTTTTCCTAAAATACAGGATAGTTAATTTCATTTCATTTTTTAAAAAAGATTTTATTTATTTGAGAGAGAGAGTGGTGGGGCGAGGGAGAGGGAGAAGCAGACTCCACACTGAACAGGGAGTCTCACCTGGGGCTTGATCCCAGGACCCTGAGATCATGACCTGAGCTGAAGGCAGACACTTAATGGACTGAGCCACCTGGGCACCCCTAGTATCATTTTGTATCAGTATTTCCTAAAGCTCTGTGATTCAAAGTCCTCCCAAGTGTTTCTCAAATTTTGTAAGTCATTTTGGTAATTGATATTTAATTTAAAATGATTTGTTAGCAGTTTTAACTTTTACAAATGAACTGACATTTGTTTTATATAATTCTTTTATAGTTTGTGAAGACTATCTTATCCCAAGGACACCTGACTCCTCTACCCCTTTATGTCTGCCCAGTGTACTGGGCGTATGACTATGCTTTAAGAGTGTACCCTGTGCCTGATCTCCTTGTCATTGCAGACAAATATGATCCTTTCACTCTGACCAATACAGAATGCCTCTGCATAAACCCTGTAAGAATATAGTTAATGTTATATAGTCCTAGTTTGTCAGGATTAGAGTGTTTTTTCTTTAAATTTAAAAAATATATATTTAGTAAAATTGTTGTATAAAAATGTACTATAAGTGAAACATTGAATTAATTTGGTATACACAAAGTTCTTCAATGTTCAGGAAAGCATGTGACTATAAAGTAATGTGACTTAAAAAAAAAAAAATACACCAAAGCTTATAAATCCAAATGAGTATTTTCCCCTTCAAAGTAACTGCCTTGGGATTCCTTTCTGGGAATTGCTTTCAGAGCCTATATCTCAGTCTCTTTAAATATATTAATGTCCTTTGTGGATGATTTTGATTTTTAGAAATTTGTGCAAGTCCCAGAAATGCGTAAGCCTGATGAATATGGAAATTCTTACTGGGATACAATTTCTACAGAAGTATGATTGCCTTTTCAAATTTTGGCAATGATTACTGCATAAATATTGTTGATGTGAAACAGTATCTTCACTAGTGACTTTTAATCTGTTTCCTTGATTCTTGTGAATTTTAGACTGTAATACTTTTTTTTGCTTCATCTAGGTCATTTCTAGAAACATCATGACTGTTGGTTACTGCTTTCCTCAAACACTCATTTATTTTGTCCAACTTCCTCCAAGACAGGGTTTCTCAACCATGGAACTATTGACATTTTGAACTAAATAATTTTTTGTTGTGGAGCACTGGCCTGTCCATTGTAGGGCGCTTTGCAGCATCCTTGGCCCCTCATCCCTAGATGCCAATGGCAGCCCCCAGTTGTAACAATCAAAAATGTCTTAGGATATTTGCCAGATGTCCCCTGGGGGACATTTTCAGTGGTTGGGAACTGCTCTAAAGATGAGCACAGTCAATGGATTTGGTTTCATGGTTTGAAATTTACGGCCTGATTTTCATAGAATCTTTATTCACTTTCCACTGTTCTTTCACAATAAGGCTATTTATTTAAATTTAACTCTTTGGGTGTTCTCATAGTTACTGCTTTATTTGATAGCACCTTATATCTGAATTTTTCCACTTTCTCTTCCTGTAGGCCAGTAAACCACCACCTCCTACACCATCATTATATACTTTTTTACTTTATTTATAACTTTAAAGTCATGACCAAGGAATTTAATCTTAAAAATAGGAATTCTTTTACAAAGTTGAGTATTCACTTACTGGCATTTTTTTTCTCCAAAGGGCTCTTTTCCAAGAAGTGGATTTTCATTCAAAGTTTTTTATCCGTCCAACAAGATAGTAGAAGATAGGTAAGTGTACCTCCAGAAACAGCAAGTAGGCGCTGTCTTTTGGCGTCGTATTGCTGAAAATCAGATGTCCTATAGGTGTGTTGAGGTTTTAAAAAATGTCTAGTGGTCCTTTGGAAATGTTTCAGGCTGAACTTCTGGTCATACTGTGGGACACAGAATTGTATATACTTGATAAAAGAGATTAAGAACTGTCTTCTGAGGGCTATGTCAGACCAGCCAGGGAGGTGGGCTAGTTCTTTTACAGGCTGACTCTTCATGATGTTTATTATTCTGAGAGGTCAGCCCCACCCTCCACGTGGTTGATTCTCAAAATCTAGGTAATCTGCCTTAAATTGACATTAAGGAAGTGTGTGTGGGGAACCCGGGGTGTTAGTGTGGTGATGGTGAGGGGTTGGGGTTGGGGGGTTGTCTTGGGAATAAAGAATAATCCACCCGGGGGGCGGGTAGTGGTTTTCATAGGGTGATCTATAGACTACCCTCATCAGAACCCTCTGTGATCCTTTTTAAAAATATTGTTCTCACTTAACCCTGGCAGGGGAGATACCATGATCATGAAAGTGGTTTTCCCAGGGTGAGTCTTATCCGTTGCACTCCCTATGTGCTGACCCCTGCGATTTCCCCAAAGTGGGAAATCTAGATGCATAATTTATGGTAGTGGGGGACTGTGTTCGTGCTCTCTCCTGGGGAAGGGGTGTTAAGTTCCAGGATCCCACTCCAGACTTACCAAATGACTCTCTAGTTGTAGGGCCCAGGAATAAGCATTATTGACACTATTTCTCTTGGACTCAGGCATCCCAACATGCTATTTCTCAGTTAATCATATTTTGAAAAAGCTCCCCACCTTAGATAAGAACAAGTGACCAAATAACTGCCTTGCAGGTTCTTGTCAGAGAATGTAATCTTGAACACACAGCCCAGTTGTCTTTATTTTTTGGTAATTAACATATTTATTTAAATAAAAATGAACACAAGTACATGATAAAAATTTCAAACAGTGCTTAAAGTATAAAATTGTAAAGGAAAAAATACATCTGCTTCCTAACCTTGAAACCATGATTAAGTTTCTTGTATATTTTAAAGATTTATTTATCTGAGAGATGCGCATGCACCTGAGTATGGTGGGGAAGGGCAGGAGAGAGAGAGAATCCTCAAGCACACTCCTGGCTGAGTGCAGAGCTTGACTCAGGGCTCAATCCCAGGACCCTGAGATCATGACCTGAGCAGGTATCAAGAGCCAGACACTTAACCAACTGAGTCACCCAGGTGCCCCTCTTATATATTTCTTGAAAAAACAATTATGCATTGTTCTTGCTGCTCAGTACTCATGGAAGATGTAAGTCCATTCACTTTATGAGATATTGTAAGTTTTCCTCTTTTACTCATTTGACATATATTTGATTCTTACTGTATTCCACACACTGCTTGGTTTTTGGAATGAATATAACCAGACAGATACGGTCATCAAGGTCACAGATACACTATTCTATAAGCCCCAAAAGTGTTTGACTTTACCTAGCCCATGTTGAATCCTGAAAAACCAAAATTGATTTGGAATGCCCTTAGGTAAGAGCAAGCACTTGCCTCCAGAGTCTTGGCTGCCTGTTGTCACCTGGATGCCCCTGAGGGCGTTTGATTTTGTGACCCCAGGATTTTACTGAGGGCTGTCTGGGGAGCATATTTTGTCCACCTTTAGAATGACTTTTACTGAACTGCAATTTGATGTGAAACTTACTCTGCTATTAAAACCAATACTGGGAACTTTCAGCAGGGCTTAGGACAAGAGGATTCTGTGTCTATCCCAAGCAACTGTTTATGTTTATCTTAGGGGAGACTGTGAATCTTCTAATAAACTCCCTTTGCTTTAGCTGTTGGGAAGCACAACCAAATGTGTAGCCTACTCCTCTACCTGCGGAGTAATTACTAGCGTAAATGTTGGGTGCAGCCCTGACTTCATCTTTTTTTTTTTTCTGAACTGTATTTTCCCATTACTTGAATTTCCTCATTTACTTTTATCTTTTTATTATATCTGTCTCTGCAAACCATTTCATATTCTTTTTTAAAAAATGAGCTGGGATATAAATAAGTAAACCACAATAGGAAATTAATTGATTTATTAATTAGGATAGTGCAAGACACTTCAGTTACATTTCTGGTTAATGTTTCCTGGCTGCCATGCAGAATTGTTTTGTGTTCTAAGCACTTTTTACAGAACTCTGTGATAGTTTCTACGTATTGTATTAGAAGTCACATACGTACCTGTCTTCCTTTTTTTTTTTTTTAAGATTTTATTTATTTATTTGAGACAGAGAGAATGAGAGACAGAGAGCATGAGAGGGAGGAGGGTCAGAGGGAGAAGCAGACTCCCCGCCGAGCAGGGAGCCCGATGCGGGACTCGATCCAGGGACTCCAGGATCATGACCTGAGCCGAAGGCAGTCGCTTAACCAACTGAGCCACCCAGGCGCCCTGTACCTGTCTTCCTTAAAAGCTTCTAATATAGCCCTTGACTTGAGTTGATGCTCACCATTCATGGAGTTGAAATAGCTGGTTCCTTTATCTTCTTTTTTTTTTTAAAGATTTTATATATTTATTTGACAGAGGCACAGCGAGAGAGAGAACACAAGCAGGGGGAGTGGGAGAGGGAGAAGCAGGCTTCCCACCAAGCAGGGAGCCTGATGTGGGACTCGATCCCAGGACCCTGAGATCATGACCTGAGCCAAAGGCAGATGCTTAACGACTGAGCCACCCAGGTGCCCCTCCTTTATCTTCTTTATAGACTCAGATACTGAAAAGCCTTGACATGATTTCCAAACTATAGTTTTTTAGTGCTTGATCAAACAGGTTGATGTACGTCTATTTTTGAGACAATAGAAAAAAATTTCAAGATATAGTGGAATCATTTGGTCTTCCTGCTACTTAGTTTCTCCAAAGAAGAAATCTTTTGGTACATTATTTGTGAAATCATATTATAGCGTTAATCACAGAAATGTAGTTAAAGTAGGTAAGGTTAACCCTATTTCAGCAAGGACTCTCATACGTTGTTTATTTAAAACATAGTATTGGTGATGTAGTGGAGAAATACCCATTTTCACATATAGTTGGTCGGAATAAAAAGTGGTAAAAACCCTTATGGAGGGCAATTTGACAGGATTTTTTAAGACCTAGACTGTATATACCAGCATGTACATTTCTAGGAATTTATCCTACAGGTATACTTGGGCTTATGCATAAAAGTAGATACAGGTGTTTTTATTGTAGTTTTTATAATAGCAAAACAAACAGTTTAAATGGTTACCCATATGGAGGCGCCTGGGTGGCGCAGTGGGCTGAGCATCTGACTCTTGGTTTTGGCTCAGGTTGTGATCTCAGGATCATGAGATCGAGCCCCGTGTCAGGCTCAGCGTAGAGTCAGCTTGGGACTCTCTCTCCTTCCCCTGCTGCCCCTCGGCCAGACTCTCTCTAAAATAAATAAATCTTTTTAAAAAAATAAATAAATGGGGCACCTGGGTGGCTCAGTTGGTTGGGTGACTGCCTTCGGCTCAGGTCATGATCCTGGAGTCCCGGGATCGAGTCCCGCATCGGGCTCCCTGCTCAGCGGGGGGTCTGCTTCTCCCTCTGCCCTCTTCCCTCTCGTGCTCTCTGTCTTTCATTCTCTCTCAAATAAATAAATAAAATCTTTAAAAAAATAATAATAAAATAAAAATAAATAAATAAATAAATAAATGGGTCCCCACTTAAATGTGTCTACTTCTTCAGAACTTTTCGAATGTATTTAAATTTCAAAGCCTTAAAGGAAGGGATTAATTTTAAAAGTTATAGGTAAATATATTACTGATTGAAAAAAGGTGTAGAAGTGTTCATTGTATTCTACTACTTATGTATATGTTTTTAAAGCATATACCCCCCCAATAGATGCTTATATATGATTAGACTGTCTTTATAAGGATAAATAATTGCTTCCAGGAACAGAAATAGAGTGTGAGACTGACTTATTTTTCACTCTGTCCCCTTTTGAATTTGGAACAATGTGCATATAATGACCTATTTTTAAAATTAAGTACTTAGAAATGTACAATAACTTAGGTTTCCAACATGTTTAATTTTATGAATTTCTATTTTCAGCAAACTTCAAGGTTTTTGAGATTCTTAAAGAACATCTGAAGAAAAAATTCATCAGTTTCTGCTTAATTTTATATTTATGTGATTTTGATAAGTTCCAGTAAAATTATGATAAACTCTAGAATGTTCTTAAATTTGTATTTTATGAAATTTTGGTATTAAGTTATAATAAACATGGTACACTCTACAAAGGTTTAGAGCAAAAATATTTTCTGTATAGTCTTAATATGAAAATATGCATGAAGATACAATCCGATTATACATTTATGCTTAAAAAGTGGTCTCATTATTTCTAGACTAGCCATATGTTAATATTCATTTTAAGAAAAATATTTAAAATTTTCTGAATCCTTATTTTGTCTAACTAAGATTTTTATCACCATAAGAGTTAAGAGTCCTAATGGTAGATTTAGCAATTTTCAAACTAAATTTCAAGTCACAGACTTTATTCTAATGATAGTGAAAACCTTTGTGTCAGGATATTACTAAGATAATCATTTCATAATTATCTTTTGGCACTGGAGAGTTTTTTTTAGGATTTTTTTTAAGGTTTGGCACTGGAGTGTTTTTTTTTAAGATAACTAAGAAACTTAAGATTCACAGAGAAAGGCAGTGAGAGAGGAACACAGGCAGGGGGAGTGGGACAGGGAGAGGGAGAAGCAGGCTTCCCGCGGGGCAGGGAGCCCGATGTGGGGCTCCATCTGAGGACCCCCGGATCATGACCTGAGCCAAAGGCAGACGCTTAACGACTGAGCCACCCAGGCGCCCTGGCACTGGAGATTTAAAAACACAGAGTTGCCATAGATTTTACATTTAGAAGCCACATTATTTTGAAGCAGCAGGTTTTGCTATTTGGATGTGATCACTTAACACCATCCCCTTACTTATCTTTTAGTTTACAGCACTGCAGTAATAGCCTAGAAATGAATCTGAAAGACAGGAAGTCAGGGGTACAAAGAATGTTTCAAATGTAGGAGTAATCTTAATATTACAAAAAGCCTAGAATGGAAGACACTTCTTTGAAAGAAAATTAGCTTTTTGGGGAAGAGAGACTGATAAAAAATAAAAATGACATATTGAAGGGAAAATTCCTCAATGAAATTTTATCTGAATGTAGTGGTAAGTGAATTAGTAGTTAAGGGTGAAGTGGCAGTTTGAGAAGTGGTTTGAAGATGGAAAATTTGGGGAGAAGGTTAGTAGAGGCCTGATGTTAGAAGAGCACGATTTAGCTTTAATTTCAAGAATAGCCTAGAAAAAGTTAAAGATGAAATTAAGGCATAAGTTCAAAAGCTATATTGCTTGGAAAATTTATAATCTGGGCTTTGAAAGTGGTAGTGAAATAAACACTGCAAGGCTGTGGGTCCAGTTATGAGAACCAGAGCTACATATGAATGACGACGAGTAGGAAGTTATAAATGGAAACTCATACAAAGTGTTCCCTCATTCATTTGCTTCAATAAGATGAGCTTTTTGAGATCTTTTTACATTTAGTGGCTAGAAAGACAGGGTGCATTTAGGACTTAGCAAGGTGAAGTGAAGCAAGGCAGTTAACTACGAGCAGGTACGTTGCCAGAACCAAACACGTGTTAGAACAAGACCGGAACTAGAACCGGGTGGCAGTCCTCATCGTCCAGAAATGCAAAGCAGAGGTCTGAAAGATGGGGCAGCAGGGGAGCAGCACTGAAAGGGTATCCTGCGCCTCTGTCTGGGGGAAAAGCAGAGAGGTGGTGTGCTCCCTGACTTGGGTGCTTAATCAGCTGGGGCGTGGCTGGCTCACTGCCAGAAGTCTGGGTCTGAGGCACTGTATGAACAGGGGCCACGTAGATCACACAAGAAGACAGGCGTGGGTAAGATTTCTCTGCTGTGAGAAAAGCAACATTTGGTCTCATGTGGGGAAACCACAGGAAGTGCGACTGGAACACACAGGTGCACCTAACGGCCGCACCTGCCGCCGTCCGCACCAGCCAGCTGTAGCCACGTGGGTGGCCGAGCCTAGCTGGCCATTCTGGGGAAATCTGAATTTTCAGGTAAAACATCCTGACTTTTCAATCACCAGTGATTTAAATTACAGTCTGCACTAAGGAAGACATGATTACAGACTGAATTGTGCCCATGAATTGCTTTCTCTGCCTGATAAGCACAGGAACTTAATCCGGTGTTCTGTAAAATATACCTATTAAGTAAGATGAGTTGAGTCCCAATCATTCCCCAAAAACGATTGTGGAATTTACTATGTCCTCTTATAGTGGTGGGGGCCGCTCAGAGCAGGCAGGGTAAAATTAAGACGGAATGTTTCAGTACTGACCCTGTGCACATTCGTGTGTTTTCTGTTCAATGGAGGCCCTCACACACCATGTTCAACCAGCAGCACAGGCTACCCAGGAGCAAGGGTGTTCTGCCATGGAGGCCGAGGTGTAATGATCCAGGGGCTGAGTATGGAGAGGGCTGCGGATCAAGGCATAATGGCCTTGTAGACGCAAGTAAGGAATCTGGACATGGGGCTCCTGAAAGGTATTCAGCAGATCTGGTTTTCAAGATCACTAAGGTTACTGTGTGGAGAAGAGATTGTAAGAAGGGAAGAGCTGAAGAGACCAGTCAGGAAGCTACTGCAGAAGTCTGCGATGGAGATGATGCAGTGGCTCAGACCAGAAATGGAAAGAAGTGGGTGTATTCGGGGTGTGTAAGAAGAGACCACAGGCCTTGGTAACTGAACAGTGGTGCAGAGTGGGGGTAAGAGGAATCAAAGATTACACTTAGGTTTCAGGCTTAAGCAGCTGGGTGGACAGTACTGTTTACTGAGACTGGGGAAATAACAGGTTTGAGAGGGAAAAAAAAATCAGGATTTCTGTTTGGATGGGTCACTGGCTGGCGTTCAGTCAGTGGAATGTGCAACTCTTGATCTTGGGGCTGTGAGTTTGAGCCCCACGTTGGGTGTAGAGATTACTTAAAAATAAAATCTTAAAAAATTTTTTTTTTTCTATTTGGAGATGCCTATCACACATCCAAGTGGAGGTATCTGGTAGGTAGTGGCATGAGCCTAGAGCTCAGAGGTTAGGTGTGACTGGAGATAAAATTTTGGAGTCACTAGTCTCAACCCACATGAGATCCATGAAGGCACGGATTTTTTTTTTTTTTACAAGTACATTAAAAAACTTTTCAATTCAAGTATAAGATAACATACATAAAGTCCTCTATCGTCAATGTACAGCTCAATGAATTTTCACAAACTGCACATCCTGTTAGCAATACCAAGATTAAGAATCAGAACACTACCCCTCACCCCAGAAGCTCACTCCTGCTCCCCTCCAATCACAACACCCCACTCCCCCTCGAAAGGACAATTACTAGCCTGGTTTCTAGCAGTGAGATTCATTTTGCCAAGCTTTGCCTATTGTAGAATGGAATCATATAGTTTGTATTATTTTGCATCTGGTTTCTTTCATACAACCTTGTTAGTAACATTTATCCACATTGTTCATTCATGTCCATTGTGTGGATATACTTTTTATTTGTCCATTCTACTATTGATGGAAACTTGAGTAGTTTCTACTGTTTATCTATTGCAAATACTGCTATTATAAATATGCAAATTCTAGTATATGTCTTTTGATAGGGATATGTGTTTCTATTGGATATATATCTAGGAGTAGAATTTCTTAGTTATGAGATATATATTACAGTCAACAAAAATTTTCCAAAGTAATTGACCCAATAGATACGTCCAGCATACGAGAGTGCCAGTTGCTTCACATCCTTGGAACACAATGATTTTGTTTTGTCCCATCCAGTGCCTGGAACAGTCCCTTACTTATGTAAGTAGTAGGTGCAGCAAGTGTGCAATAAACATCTGTTGAAAGAATGAATCTAAACTTAGATGGCATTTAAAGCTGTGAGCTTGATTAGGATCATCTGGGAAGGAATACGATTAGGTAAGTAGTCTGATGAACAGACTTTGGGTGACTCCTACATTTAGAGGACAGGCGGGAAAGGAATAAGCAAAGGAGGAGGAAAATGGGAGAGCATGGAGTTCTTCAAACCAAGAGTAAAGTATATTTCAAGAGGGGCAGTCAACTATTTTGAATACAGCCAAGAGATCATAAGATGAGGGCAGAGGTAAAGGAGTTAGATTTTTGGTCATTTCAAATCTGAAGGACATAAGCATTAAATCATTGAAATGGAGACCTCAAATGGGCAACTGGACATACAAGTTTGGAATTCAGAACCTGATATATGTCTGGTATTTGTGAGTGTAAAAATATTTGTGGAGAGAATGTAAATGGAGAAGAGACAGGATCCCAGCCTTGAGGCATTTCCACTTACAAGTGGAACAGAGGCAAACACTTGCAAAACAGACTATATAATGTTAAGTGTCTGATGAGGTAGGAGAGAAATCTGTGAAGTGTCTTGTCACTGAGGTAATGCCAACATCAACTGTGTTAAATGCTGATGAAAGTTTCAACAAAATGAGAACAGAAGAACAATCACTGGATTTAACAACTACAAATTAATAACTACCTTAGTCAATAAATATTATTCTATAACATTACTTTTGAATGCATAAAATCCCACTGTATGGCTATAGCAAAATCTGCTCGCCCCGTCCCACTGTTGAATTCTTGGATTCTTCCCAAACCTTTACAATCATGGGAAATGTTGCTTTGAGCACGCTCTTAGAATTGCTGGATGAAAAGAGTATGTACCTTCTAAAGGCTTTTATACAGCTACCAAACTACTCTCTAGAAAGGCTTTACTACCACCCCAAGGAAATACAGTAATTGTAAAAACAGCCTTTGCCATTTTGATAGGTAATATGTGGGATCTTACATTCGCATTTTTACTGTTAAAGTCCTGGGGGGCCTGGCTGGCTCAGTCAGAGGAGCATGCGACTCTTGATCTCGGGGTCCTGAGTTCAGCCCTAGGTTGAGTGTAGAGATTACTAAATAAAAAAAAAAAAAAAGAAAGAAACTAAAAATAAAAAGTCCTGTATGCTTATTGATCATTAGGTATTTATGAATAACCTGCCCATAGCTCTTGCCCCAAATGTGAGTTGTCATAGGGCAAACTTTATGGTGAAATGTCCAGAAAACTGAAATGTCGGTTTGGTAAAGTAAAAAGTGTACATAAACTTAAACTTGAATTACAGCTTGTGAATACGATAACGTACATAAAGGCTGGAAATTACAATTATTGTGACCGTTATTCTGCAGAAGCAATTGCCCCACGGCACAGGAATCTAAAAGGCAGTATGTGGCGTTGTGGGTTGATGTGAAGGAACTAAGAGGCCATCTGTGGCGCTTCCACCAGCCGGCTCCAAGTCCTGCCCCTCCTCCCGGCTGGTGGCGGTGTCACTATGGCAACGACCACGCGCTGCCTCGGGCTCAGTTCTCTGGCGGTTACCGAACTGGGCCGCCCCACTCTCCGCAGACCAGCGACTCCACGGCGCGGCCCACCCACCTGGTCTCGGGTCCATCTCCTCCCGCCCGAGGGCTAGGAGCCGCGGGGCAACATGGCCAAGGCGGCAGCCTCTTCGCCGCTGGAGGACTTGGACCTGAGCGGAGAGGAGGTCCAGCGGCTCACCTCGGCCTTCCAGGACCCGGAGTTCCGGCGAATGTTCACCGAGTACGCCGAGGAGCTCACGGACCCGGAGAACCGGCGGCGCTACGAGGCGGAGATCACCGCGCTGGAGCGTGAGCGCGGGGTGGACGTGCGGTTCGTGCACCCGCAGCCGGGTCACGTACTGCGCACTAGCCTCGACGGGGCGCGCCGCTGCTTCGTGAACGTGTGCAGCAACGCGCTGGTGGGCGCGCCCAGCGGCCGACCCGGCCCCAGGGGCGCGGCGGCCGGCAGCCAGTGGTCCCTGCCCTACAGCCTGGCTCCCGGCCGCGAGTACGCGGGGGGCCGAGGCACCCGCTACACGGTCTACGACGTGGTCTTCCACCCAGACGCGCTCGCGCTGGCCCGGCGCCACGAGCGCTTCCGCCAGATGCTGGACGCCACGGCACTGGAGGCCGTCGAGAAGCAGTTCGGCGTGAAGCTGGACCGCAGGAATGCCAAGACCCTGAAGATCAAGTACAAGGGGACTCAGGAGGCCGCCGTGCTGCGCACGCCCCTTCCCGGGGGCGTCCCGGCCCGGCCCGAGGAGGAGCCGGAGAGCCCTCTCCCCGATTTCCCCTACCCCTACCGGTGCCCTGCGGTGGCCGGAAACTCAGTGGTCCCCCCACCCCAGGCGCCCTCTCCTCCGGAGGCGGTCCTGCAGCCCGCCCCCACAGAGCCTCGCTACAGCGTGGTGCAGCGCCACCACGTGGACCTCCAGGATTACCGCTGCTCCCGGGACTCGGCCCCCAGCCCGGTGCCCCGGGAGCTGGTGGTCACCATCGAGCTGCCGTTGTTGCGCTCGGCCGAGCAGGCGGCGCTGGAGGTGTCGGGAAAGCGGCTGTGCCTCGACTCAAGGAAACCCGACTACCGGCTGCGGCTCTCGCTCCCGTACCCAGTGGACGACAGCCGCGGCAAAGCGCAGTTCAACAAGGCCCGGCGACAGCTGGTGGTCACGCTTCCCGTGGCGCTGCCCCCCGCGCGCCAGGAACCCGCCGTGGCGCCGGAAGAGTCCGTCTGCATGTCCGGAACTGACGGCGCGACCTGCGCTTCCGCTCGCAAGGGGGCGATGAGCCCGGCAGGGGGTTGTGCCGGTAACGGTGGCGCGGATCCCAGGCCACCCGGGGCTGCGGACGCCAGGATCACCACCCCAGCCGCCGCTGCGGAGGAGCTCGTCTCCGAGCCCGAGGAGCAGGACCTGGACGAGCAAGCGGTGTGGACAACGGACATCGAGGAGGAGCCGCCTACCGTAGCAGGGAACTCACCTGGGGACGGTGGAGGAGGCTCCCCTGGTACTTCATCTGGGGACCTTGACAGGGGTTCTTCTGCAGGAAGAGAGAGTGCTCGTGGAGACCTCGGCGTTGAGACGCGAGTGATCGGGGAAGGCGCGGGCCGGGAGCCCTCCGATCGAGCCATGGGTGGTCCCGGGACCGGCAGCAAGGAACCTTTGTGTCCTCCTTTGCATTGTAATCAGGATGAAGAATCCCTGACTCTGCTAATTCAAGTGCCTCGGATCCAACCGCAAAGTCTTCAAGGGGATGTGAGCCCCTTCCGGTACAAATTAGGCTTCTCCACCCAAGACTTAGTTTATTATTCCTTCTTTTTGCAATTTGCTCCGGAGAATAAATTGAGTACCAAAGAACCTGTGGCTAGTATTTCTTCAAACAATGCAGTGATAGAACTGGCTAAATCGCCAGAGTGCTATGGACATTGGAGAGAGTGGTATTATGGTTTAAACAAGGATTCTTTGGAGGTAACAGTTCTTTCTAGACTCTTATATTTGAAATACTCCATCCCGCTTTTATAATTGACCCTTGAACAACACAGGTTGGATCTGCCTGGATTCACTTATAAGCAGATCTTTTTTGATAAATACAGTATAATACTATAAATGTATTTTCTCTAATGATTTTCTTAAAAACATTTTTTTTCTCTAGTTTACATGGTAAGAATATAGTATATAATACAACATAAAATATTAGTTAATGGGCTGTTTATGTTATAGGTAAGGCTTCCAGTCAACAGTAGGCTACTAGTAGTTAAGCTTTGGAGGAGTCAAAAGTTGGAGGTTGATTTTTCAACGGGGGTGGGGGGGACGACAGGGTGGAGAGGAGGGAAGTGTCCCCTAACCCCCTGCTGTTGAAAGATCAACTATATAAATATTTGTTAGAGTGAACATCAAGATCAGCTACACCTCTTGTGGGCAGGTACTCTAGAACTTGGGGCTGAGCATTACCTAGTTTACTTAGGACATAATTTTCATGAATAGTGTGTTCGATTGTAGTTGCGACTATACTTCTTAGGTTATTGAGGTTCTTGAATTTCAGATTCAGTACTCCAGTATAACTGACAATTTTTTAAAAAGTATTTATTTATTTATTTATTGACTTAAGTAGGTGAGGGGCAGAAGGAGAGAGAGAGAGAGAAGCAGACTTCCCCGCTGAGCGGGAGCATACACTGGGCTCATCCCAGGACCGGAGACCATGACATGAGCTAAATCAAGAGTGGGTTCCTCAACTGGCTGAGCCACTCACACGCCTGCCCCTATTGATAATTTTTTTAAAAAACTTTGTAAAATTTTAAGTTCTAAGGAAAATTTTAAACTCATAAATTAGCAATTGGTGGTTTTCATTGAGGTATGTATCAGTTTTACATGTAATTTTTTTTTAGCTTTTAACAAATTCAAGGGTTAAATTCCCAGAAATAAAACTAGTTGCAGATTATATACTGAAAATTAAGTTTTTAGCCTTGGGTTTTAATTTGCCAGAAATTTTCGTTTCTTCCCTATGATTTTCCTAGATATTTGCTAATAAGTCGTATTTTAAGGGGGTATCTTCTGTGAGAAGTGGTTAATTTGAAACTCTCCCAAAATGGTAAAATAAATAGTCAGGGTGAGGTAAGATGCTTTGTGAGAATATAATATGAAACTGACTATCTGTTTATATCATCAGAAGGGGGAAATTTAGGAAAGGGCAGTCGTTCTCCTGTAATTGTTTTATTTATCTATTTGTTTTTAAAATTTATTTACTTAATCTCTACCCCTCTACCCGGTCCTGGGGCTCAAACTCACTTCCGGAGATAAAGAGTTGCATGCTCCTCCAACTGAGCCAGCCAGGTGCCCCTGTAATTGTTTTAATAAATATAAAAATAACAACTGGGAAGAAAGTTTTATGGATAAGCAGTTGAGAGAATACTAAAGACTATTATTTTAATCTGATTTTCTAGAAGGCTAACATTATTTTAGCAAAGAAACTAGACCAAAATGGGATTAGGGCAACTGTGTTTTATATCTTTGATGCTTGAAATAGATTTGTAATTATTTTGTTAAATCATCACATTTGCTAAAGCTGATGGAACCATTATATTCAGTTATTTTTCTTTACATTTCACTGGGCTAGGGTCTAAGTATTAAAGTAAAATTTTTTAAAATCACAAGAGTAATGTGTGGGTAGACATATATAATGATTATATTATATGCATCATATGAAAATAATTAGACTGCTTTGTGACTGTCAAGGTCGGAATTGTTACTTTACACATAAACAAGTATAAAATAGATTTATAAAAGCCTAAATATTCACTGGAAATTTTCCTAGAGCTTTAGGACCACTAAATTCAGTATCTTTTAGAGTAAAATCAGTCATTAGAATAAGGTGAGTTTATGCAAATACTTTGTTTTAATCATAACCATTTCCATTATAAATATTATTTTTCCTTGGGTTAACTAAAGACTAAAAGTATTTGGTGTATTTTTGTGCAATTAATGTGTCTTTCAGGGGCAGGAACCTTACAAATGCTTTTAATTGGGGGATGTTTCTATAATACAGTTATTCTGGAACTTTAAAATAATAGCAAGGAAATTACTCCAAATATAAGATTTTTCTGTACCCAACGTTCATGGTAGGTATTCATAAGTTTAAATACTACTTAATATAAGGGAACTTTACACTTGTCTCTTTCTGATTTTGCCCTCCTATTTGGACCAAATAATGAACTGTTTATTTGGAAATTTGTTTTTATGAAAGTACTTTATTTTGGGCAACATTAAACTGATTTTATGCATTTTAAATATGGTTATCCCTTCAGCACCCTAACTATATACCTGTATTCACTTGACATGAATATGCACAAGTTGCTTTGTGTTTGGGATTCTGGTAAAAGTGATTTATGCGCTTCCTAATTATAGTTTGGAAATCTTTCCATGTCAGCCTCTTGAAATCTACCTCATTCTTATACATAGCTATATGCTACTGTCACAATGGATTATCTCAATGTGCAAAAACAGAATATACTTCTCTTAAATATTATATTTGGCTCTTACCTGGCCAAGTACTAAAAGGCAAACTGGTCACACAAAATTTAAATAAATCCTGTCATATATATTTCTTAGCTGTCTCATTAGGAAGTATTCTAAAATTACATTTTATAGCAGCAACTGCATTTATAGCCCTAGAGGTGATGTTATTCTTATAAAATATTAAGAGAAAAAGGAAAGGAAAATACCATTTGTAAGTAAGATTATCTCAGACTGTTAACAGAGACTTAGAGAAGGAACTAAGACTTTTTTCTTTTAGGGTCTTTTCTGATCTATGTATATACTCTTGCTATTCTTACTGCTCCATACAATACTGTTTTCTTCTGCCAAAACAGCATAGGAGTAACATTAAACATTTTAGAAGTGTAATCCTGAAGTGTGTAAGCACTTGTATGAGCTGTTCTTAGATCAACTGTGTCAAAAATGACCTATAAGGCAGAATATGTTTTCTCATTTTATTTTAGGAAAGACTGTTTGTCAATGAAGAAAATGTTGATGAGGTTCTTGAAGAGGTCCTGAGCCCTCCATTTAATCAGACAATGTCCTTAACCCCACCATTAATTGAAGTTCTTCAGGTTACTGATTGTAAGATTCAAATTCATGCAAAGGTAAGGATTTGGTGGCCTCTGTAGTGATTTAGGACAAGGTTAAAGCCTGACAGATAACTTAATTTTTGATTTCTTGATGTCATAACTTTAAATTAAATGTACATAATGGCTGGGAAGACTTAAGAGGAGTAAAGACTTTTTTTGCATGTATTTTACTATGTGCCAAACACTTTGTGACATTCATTTTCACATATATCTCATTTAATGCCAAAATAACTGTCCACTGAGGAAGAGGGAAAAAACTAACATTTGGGAAGTTTGAGTACGAGTTCGGGGACAAACAAGTCTTTTTGACTCTCAAACCATGGGATGGAGCTATGTCATTCAGTTTGTTTATTCTTTCTAGTTGAACCTTAAGTGTGGTTATTTTTAGTCTTCAATATTGGACACAAATAATTTAGTAACTAGCACAATTGATTTACATATGAATTGGGGAGGAGAGTGGTTTGAAGAATCACAGAAATTCAAGAAAATTCAAGAAATTAAAGAATGTCCTTTTAAGAATTGACTACTGGGGCGCCTGGGTGGCTCAGTCGTTAAGCGTCTGCCTTCCTTCCGCTCGGATCATGATCCCAGGGTCCTGGGATCAAGCCCCGCATCAGGCTCCCTGCTCCGCGGGAAGCCTGCTTCTCCCTCTGCCTCTACCCCTGCTTGTGCTCCCTCTCTGGCTGTGTCTCTCTGTCAAATAAATAAAAATAAAATCTTTTAAGAAAAAAGAATGACTACTAAAGGGTTTTGTTGGCCAGGATTATTTTATTCTGAAGGAGATAAGGGGTCATTGAAAGCAATTAATCAAGAATTAATGCCAGGTTTGCACTGTCTGCATTGTTAAAAAATAACTGGCAGCATTTGGAAGATAACTTTGAGGGGGGAAGCCCAGAAGCCTATTTGCAGATCTGTAAGCATTATATATTAAAAAAAAAAACTTAAAAAAAGAAAAATTAAAAAAAAAAAACCCTATATCCAGAGAGTACAATTTAATTTTCTGTTTTTTTCAAAGATTCTTAATTTGTTGTTTCTCTTGACATAGTTGCAAGAATGTAGTAACTCTGAACAGCTTCATGAAAGGGAAGAAAAAGGCGCTGAAGGAAGTCATCTAACTGAAAAAGAAAATACAGAACATCCTACCACCTCAACAACTGATTCTGATTCATCTACAGCAGTTAAAGTACTAGAAACAGACAGTTGTGGTTCAGTTGTATGCTTGCAACAAGGGTCTCTTGATGTTTCTCACATGCTGTTTGGAAAGTCTCAGCAACCTGAGTCAAAAATGGAACCTGAATTTATAAAAGAAAAAAGTCCTGTTTACTCAAATGAGGAAAAAGATGACTTAAAAGAACCAATGATAACAGAAGAGAAAGAATTAGATGGAGATGACCTATCTTCATTACTAAACAAAACTACAGTTCACAATTTACCTGGTCTTAACAACATAAAAGAAACCAATATGCAGGACGGTAGTGTGCAGTTTATTAAAGATCATGTGACTCAATGCGCATTCAGTTTTCATAATTCTTTGCTATATGACTTGGACTAATTCTATATAATTTTAGGGTTTAAAAGTAAAAATTTTTTGGACTTAGATTATCTTTCTGTTAACTACGATCTTAAAGTATTCAAGAAAGTATAAAATTAAAATTTGCAATTTTGATTCTAATGGGGAAACTAGAGAGAATTTTTTTTTTTTTTGCATGTAGAGTTTATACAAAGTTTTCTTAATTATGGAGATTTTTGTGTATTTAGATGTATATTTTTTCTAATGGACAGTTAAACATTTAGTTTTAATACAACCTGTATATATTTGCTTGTTTGTTTTTGGCTTCTTTTGTTTACCATTACTTTAATAAAGTTTCAAAGTAAATATTCACTAAGTTGTGTCTGTTACAAAAAGTAATTTTCAAGAATGCAATTAACTAGAAATTAATCAGTATGTGTGTGTGGGTAGGGGTAGAATCTCCAAACTATGCCTTTAGGTTTCACTAAATAGGATGTATTTTGCTTGAAATAGAGATTCTTAGAACTTTACTAACCAATATTAACCATCCAATTATAATACAAATACACTGAATGAAATTTAGTATTTTTGCTTCAACTCTGTATTTTATGTGTGTCACACACACACACACACACACACTATATATATATAGAGAGAGAGTTATACAGGTTATTTAGTGATGCCTTTAAAATTCAACTTAAAAGATGTTTTTGGAAGTTACTGTTGTTAAAACATTTCTTGGTTTTATAGAATACATTTATCAAATTTTTTAAAAGCTTTTAAGTAATCTCTATACCCAAATGTGGGGCTCGAACTTACAACCCTGAGATCAATAGTCAGACACTCCACCAACTGGGCCAGCTAGGTACCCCTACATTTATGAATTTTAGAACAATTAAAAATCTGGGAATTTGCTCCCATAGGAAAATTGTCTTCACTATATTACATGAAAACAAACCAAAAAGCCAGTGTTTTCTAGTCAGTTTCTCTTGTAATAGCTAAAAAGGGCAACAGATAATTTATCTTAACAGTGGCTAAGTTATTAATATTTATATTGGAGGCCAGGAGAAAATCGAATAGGTTTTTTTCTCACAAAAATTTTTAGTACAGCATGAAAGAAAATGTAGAAAGGAAAATATTCATTGATCTAAGTGCAGACCCCAAAGCCATGAGCTAGTTTATCTGATCTATTTCTCATTCAAAATAGCTAATTCAAACCTCTGGCTTCCCTTAGTCCTGGAAATTAACTCATTTTTTTAATCCTTTGAACTGGTGAAAGTCAGATCAGAGCACCAAAAGCTAGTACAAAGCCTGGCAATTCATCCTGATTTACATTTAGAACCCCTATAAAATCTGGAACCAAACTGGGCTATGAGGGTAATAAAAATATAGCTCATAAAGCAAGAGATCTATTTTGTTCCACCTAGAACGACCACATGCATTTTGTCAACCATATGACTTAATTTGACGAAATAATTTCAAAATTGTCCATTTAATACACAATTTTCTTAGACTGAAATGATGTCCTATCTACACAGAAATTAGTGTCTGAGTAACTTCTGGTTGAATGCAATTATATACTATTAAGAGAAACTTCCACATTAAATATGGAATAAATTTTAAGCGTGTTTCCTACTATTTACTATGTCCTTTTAACAAGTATAATTTTAGTTACAGCTGGCACTAGAACATTTTCACTTTGGCATGACTGAACTTTCTATCATTTCTGGCTTTTGAAAACAATTTAGTCTGTATTTTACTTACACAGCAGCTTTTTATTGTTCATTACCTATGCTTGGCTAATTTGAAAGCCAGTCTCTTCTAAAGGGAATGCATTGTCCAGAGTGGGGTTTTCTTTATTTCAAACTCAGTGATATGATGTACAAATAGTACACATGAAGATGTAATGTAAACTTTAAAACTTCTAGAATGCCTTCACTGAATTTTGGTGTAAAGAGTAAACAAAATTTATTCTGCAAAATAATTAGGAACCTTTTTATGCAAAAATGAGTATTTTATTTTGGCAGCACTAAAAGAAAAAAAAAAAAACCCACTGTATTTCTACATTGAGGTGAAAACAGTGTTTAAACTTTCTTATCAAATACATTCCAAAATAAAGTGTGTTCCAAGAAGGTTCCAAAGCACAGGCAAATCTTAACACAATAATAGAGGAATCTGTAATACTGAAAATGTCTGTTCTGATAGGGTGTTTAACAAACATAACTTTTGAATTATAAAACCAGTGAAGCAATCCCTTCCTAGTAACCGTGTCAAGAGTGAAATTGGGCTTGTTCGATTAATACTAACAATTCCACTGTAATACTTTTTACTGCTATGACAGTTTTAAATAAAGTCTGCTGTACTTAAAATAAGTTTTGAAAGTGGAAAAGTGTACAAAGTTCCAGATAAAAAGATTAATAGATGCAATTTAAATAAAATTTCCCCTCTTTTCTTTTACCAATTAACAATGATTACCTTTAGCAGATACAGATTGAACTTTAAAACCCAACTCCCAAAATGAAAACTTGTGTTTAAATTTTAATCAGACATAGAAGGAAAAGATTACTATATTTGGACACCTTTTACAAGAATTTTTTTTTTTTTTTTCCGTATTAAAGCAGAAACCAGTTCCTAAACCCTTTTAGTCAACTGTATATTCTGTTTGGACAAATATCAAAAATAGAAGACTGTGACCTTTGCTTTTGTAATTGTGATTTTTCACTGCAGTCTTCTATAACTTTTACAGAGTTCATGGTCCCTAATATCTCCCCACCCTCCATTTTTCCTAGGTGGGGAAATGGCTGCCACAAACTTCTCACTGATAATTAGAGTTTCTGGAAACAAGTACTGTTTGTTATTATTTAAGAGTGACTCAATTTGGGCACTCTGAGTGGATGGTCTACAGGTTTTCTTGTGGTGCATACCACAGTCTCCAGCATGAAATATTCTAGGAACTTGAGGAACCAGCACTTTCCAGAATTTTGGAAGACAAGATACAGTTAAATACTGAAGAGTCCAATCCCAGTTATAATCATCATAAGTACAGAAAGTGTCTGTGCACTCAATCAGCTTCTGATATGCATCCCGGGTCAAGGCTAGACCCATATTGTGCTCTGTGGATTTCCAAGTTTTCACATCTACCTTGTCAGCAATGCCATGGAAACTGCGAATGGCCGTATAGGTCCCCAGGGAGAGAACATCACACTCAGGACACTCTTCCTGCTTTAACTTCCACATCTTTTTAAAGACATGGTAAAAGTCTGGGGCTAAGTAGTGATCCTCCTCTAGGAAAAGTATGAGGCCAGCATAGTCTCGAAGAACTTTGACTCTTTCCCATACAAAATGCAGCTTCCACCACCAATGGTGTTTGGTTTGGGAGAACTTGGCCTCTCTATAATGGCCAAAGGAGTCGGGATACTCAGCATTAATGCATCCCATCTTCAGCGCTGCAGTCTTCTCCAGGTCTCTGGGGCAATCTCTGGGGTCGCTGCCTGGAAACTCGCTGGGGTACAACTGAATGCTGAAAGGAAAGAACACCTGCAGAACCGGACAGAAATCCACCCCAGCGATCAGCTGATTGATCTCTGTCGACCAGAAGTCATGGCTAAAGATGACGAGGACGTTGTCAATGCCCTGGGCTTTTCGGAGTGAGTCCAGCAGCAGTCGGAGGTAATCCGGCCGGTTATGCACCTGGACCACCAGCACCAGCTCTCGGGGGGCCCAGGAGCCGGCCTTATCTACATTCCTCAGCGTCTGGTCAAAGTTCAGCTGGTACACCAGGGACCTGTACCGCAGCGTCAGGTTGTCCGCCTCGGGCTGCGGGGCCGCCGGGACCAGAGGAGCCGCCGACTCGTTGGAGACCCGGCGGATGCCCACGGACACAGCATAATGGTCCCCGCCCCGGCCGCCCGCTCCTCGCGCGAGCTCGGCGTCCAGCAGCGGCGGGGCGAGGGCCTCGTTCTTCCTTTGTCGCCCATTGCTGCTCCAGAGGACGAAGCCGCAGGCGGCCACCACGAGCGTCAGGATCAGCACCTTCCGCTTATAGATGCGGAACCTCATGGTCTCCAGGGCAGGGAGAGCGGGCGGGCGGGCGCGAAAAGGAGCTAGCGGCTTCTGCACAGAAGGGGCGGGCGGGTGGTGGCCGTCGCCTTGGCCTGTAGCAGTCAGAACTGGCCCCCGCGGCTGCCCCAGCTAACTCATCCCGGACCCCGGGAGTCCAGGGGCCCGAAGGGTCTCAGTTCCCCCGCGCCGCCCGGGCTCCACACATCCTCGCCTGGCAGCTGCAGCTCGGGCAGCGGCCCCGCCGCTAGGAGCCGCGGCTCGGCGCCGCCTCGGTCCTTTCCATTCAGCACGGGTCCCGGAAGAAGTCCCGCCGCGGCCCCACCGCACCCCCGCTTGGTTACCTGCGCCTCCAGCGGCCCTGCGTCCTCTGCGCTCTCATGCTTACGCGGGCCCCAGACCGCCAAGCCCGAGCGACGCAGCCTCGCCCCACTCCGGCGCCGACCGTTCTGACAACCCGCGACTGGCCCGCGGAGCTCCGCGGCCCTCGGGCCCACACCGCCCCGGCCCGCCCCTTGGGCCGCTGGTTGGAGCTTCCCGGACGCGCCCGGAGACGACAGGCCCCCACTGCCTGCTGCCTATTGGTCCGTAGCACTGTCGCTCACGCTCAGTTCCTACTTCCGCTTCTTCCTCCCTTTTCCTGTTAGGCGCGGGCAGAGCGAGGCGAGGAGCGCGGACGTCGAGTTTCCAGGTAAGCCAAGACGGGAGTGTAGCGGTCTCAGCAGGAGCCTCCAGTGCTCAGAATCTGGGGATGGACCAGGCCCTTGTAGGAACTGGAGGGCGAGACCCGCTGTCTTGGCAGAATTAACTGGCTTCTCCCCTCGGCAGGGGGCTCACGAATGGCGGCTAGTGGGCCGGGAGGCACTTACTAAGGACACGTCAGCCTTCAGGGCTGCTGACGGGTGCCGGTGCTTCGGAGGGGAAAAGTGAAAGCAGACTGCTGCGGTTCCCGGAGAAGGAACGGAGGCGGGCCGTAGCTGTAGCTATTGACTGAAATCCCGCACTGAACCGGGCTATACCCAGGAGCTAGAACATGGAGGAAGAGGGTGCGAGGAAGAGTCGGAGACTTTAGCTTTGGTCCTCTCTGAGAAAGAAAATTAGATAAACACCACTATGCTTTTCTTCTTGGGACAGCCACAGTAAATTGAGCTCCAAAGGAACCCACTTTGTACGGGGAACTGGCTGCTGGGCGCCCCTGTACTGCTTTTTGCTGATTTTTCGTCTCATTCCATAAACGCTGTAAGCATTCCAAAAAGGTGTGCGCTTCTAGGTGTATTGACTCATACGTAAAAGGAGTACTTGGTGGGTTTATACATTACTGATTAATGTAATTTTGTAATGTTTCCTATATTCTTAAAGCACTTTATTAAAAATGTTTGAAGTCTGTTACTGTAACTTAAAATATTTTACATTTTCATCGTGCAGACAGCGCTACTGCAGAGATGGTCAACGTTCCTAAAACTCGAAGGACTTTCTGTAAGAAGTGTGGAAAGCATCAGCCTCACAAAGTGACCCAGTATAAGAAGGGCAAGGATTCCCTTTATGCCCAGGGAAAGAGACGCTATGATCGGAAGCAGAGTGGCTATGGTGGGCAGACAAAGCCGATTTTCCGGAAGAAGGCTAAAACCACAAAGAAGATTGTGCTGAGGCTTGAATGTGTTGAACCTAACTGCAGGTCCAAGAGGATGCTGGCCATTAAGAGATGCAAGCATTTTGAATTGGGAGGAGATAAGAAGAGAAAGGGTCAAGTGATCCAGTTCTAAGCTTTGAGATTCTTCTTTTATTTTTGAGAAGAAAATGTTGACGCTGTAGGAAAATTAAACCTGTATGAAAATAAATAGAGTGATATTTTTACCCAAATATTTTGTGGTTTTTTTTAGAAATCTAAATAGAATGACATGCTTAATGTGATTCAAAATTAAGGAAATAGCAAATGTGTCAGTGAACTAAGGTTTATCCTCAAATTACTAAATTTAGTTCCACAAAATTGGAATTTTGTATTTATATATAAAGAAGACAGGAGTTCCACCTCCCAACTTTACAAACTAGGTTATGGATAGAAACCACATACCAGGGAAAGAACTGCTACTTTCTTTACTTTTTCTGGCCAATTTCAAATATATGTGTTAGGTTAATTCATAATCACAATTGATGAGCTGCTGGGAAAGGTCTCAATCAGATTTTGAAAAAAGTAAATGAGGATTAATTAGGCAGACTGAGTGGGGCAGAGTATCCAAGTTGGGGTATAAAAAGAGCTGACTTGGAAGTTAGTGTCCAGTAGGGAGGACTAGCCATATATAGATATTTAAATAAGAAATGCAGTTCCTCAGTTACACTAGCTACATTTAGTGCTCAACAGCCACATACGCTGACTGGCTAGCCTATTGGACAACACAGATACAGAATATTTCCATCAGTTTTTTTGGACAGCACTGTGTTAGACTGGTCCTGAATGTAAGGCAGCAGTTTAAAACTGACTTCTAACTGCAAGACATTCTGAAGCTAGTGAAAAAAAACTGAGTCCATGATGGCATAAACTTTTTTGATTCCTTTAGAAGTTACTCTGGGAGATACTCAAATGTTACAACTTCGTGGTTATTGGGAGGTTTGAGAAAGTACACAGTTACCACTGAAAATGGAATGGAAGGCTGAAACTCAAAGTGAGCCTTGTAACCCATGGAAGGCAAAACATGAGTATCAAAAGCAAAAAGTGACAAAGGGTATGGGTTGTGAGAAGAAAAATTCTGCATTTTGTATAAGAATTTTTAAGTTGGCCTAGATATTTACATGGGATGGCTGTAGATGAGTAATGCAAAGGGCTAGGGTGTAGGAGTAACAGCTGGTTAGCACTTAGTCCCAACATAGATACATCTGCATTTGTTGATGAAAAAAGTAACTTTTGGGGCACCTGAATGGCTGTCAGTAAGCGTCTGTCCTTGGCTCAGGTTATGATCCTAAGGTCCTGGGATCCAGCCAGTTTCTGGCTCCCTGTTCAGCGGGTAGTCTGTTTCTCCTTCCTCTGCCCCTCTGCCCCCTTGTGCACACTCTGTCTCTCAAATAAAATCTTAAAAAATAATAAAAACAACTTTTTCTACAAGAACATTTAAAAATCAGATACACACAAGTTAAATATGCCACAATACATTTTTTTTTTAAAGATTTTATTTATTTATTTGAGAGAGAGAATGAGAGAGAGCACATGAGAGGGGGGAGGGTCAGAGGGAGAGGCAGACTCCCTGCGAAGCAGGGAGCCTGATGCAGGACTCGATCCCGGGACTCCAGGATCATGACCTGAGCCGAAGGCAGTCGCTTAACCAACTGAGCCACCCAGGTGCCCTGCCACAATACATTTTTAAAAGAACCATGTTTTAATGTAGTTACATAATATTTATCGGTAATCCCTCACCATTTTGAGTTTAGAAAATTCTAAGATGTTTTACTTAATTATAGAATTCTTGGTTTTAAAGAGTAAAAGTGAATTAACTTTAGAAGGCGTATAAAGCCTGGGCTTAAAATCTCTGATCTGGGTTCATGGTACCTCCTAGGGTAATTTGTGAGGATTAAATAAAATACTGTATGTAAAACACCTGGAACAAAGATGCAGCTAAATGACAGCTCTTTTTATTTAAGTCATTTTTGCATTATATATGATTTTTTTAAATGAAAAACTAAAAATTACATAGAAATCTTTTGCGGGAAGAACTTAACTGACCACAAGAAATACAAATTTAAGGTCACCCAAGAATTACTCTGGACGAAAGAAACCACTCTGAGAAGAAAGTATGTTTTGGAAATCATATACATAAAGTTTTAATAAAAATCTTCTAACAGTTAAAACAGTATTTACTCAGGAATATTCGTAATTTCAGAAAAGAATAAAATGCTCCAAATAAATATTTTAGGATAGAGGAAGTAGTTAGTTACCCTAAACCATAAGAAATAGTCTTACACAGACTACCTGTAACTCCAGGCCCAAAACAGCAATGATATGCTAACACCTAAGAGGGTTTTCTCCAGTAACTTTTACTCTTTCACCTCCTTTGTTCCCAGAAACCAGTTATGAGGCTATTACAATGATCTAAAAAAGAGGCTGATCTGAAGGACCATGGGAATGAACAGAATGGAGCAGTTCTGATTCCATTTTCCACAATTCTTTCAAACAGCTTCATTTTCCATTCCTTCACCCTAATTCAAATCCTCATCATACTATAGCCGGTGTATTACCACTTTTTAAATTAAAAACATAAAAATATTAAGTGACTAAAATAATAAACAGAAAAAAGTACAACCTTCAAATACAGAATGTAGTCAGTAAAAAGTAGCAAATTTCTATACCTCCTACCCAACCCTAAAACCTTGTTCTAACTCTGAAAAGTTAAAAAACTTAGAAATCACAACAAAGATGTAACATTATAAAACTTATAAAAGCTGAAGTCTGTTTATCCCAAAGCAACTCCAACTTTATGCTTGAATATAGAATTCCATATGTAGAATAATATACCTGAAAAACACAAAAAGGGGTATGCTTATGTAGTTTCATACCAAAGTTTTCACTAAAATTTAGACTTAGTCCTCCAAGATATATTTTCTACATACAGGAATTCAATTTCTTTAACCAAAATTCAAGAAGAAAATTGATAAGAAAATTCTATGACTGGAGTGATAGGGATCAGTATCTGTTTAACATTAAAAGATAATCCCACAACCCATTCTGGAAACACTAGACTGAAATCAACACAAGTGCAATAAACTGATAGAAGTTTCCTCACAATAAAATTAAATAGATTTTAATGAAATTAAGGTTTTACAGTCAAATGATTGAATATGTTAGAGTAACACCTTCTTCCCCTCAAGTACACGAAAGGCTTCCCTTTCTCCAGTTTGACAGTTAAACCATAAATGAATCCCAAACTAATCTGTAACTAAATGGAATTTCTTTTTGTGGTATCACCTATTACTTTAACATATCACAGGAATTTACATAACAGGCTAGAGAACAGAAGTAAGAGATAACAGGTGCTTCAGTACCACCCATATTATCTACTAAGACCACAGTGTGAGCCACAGAGTGTAGATTCATGGTAGTAGTTCCCTGAATAAAAGAGTTTAGACAGATTCTTCCACAAACACAGGTTTTTGCAGTATCCAAATCTTGGCAAAGATGAAAAGGAATGATATGAGAGCCATATGGAATCCTATTGGAAAAAAAAGTTCAAAAAATATTTTTAAATACATTACTAGATTCAGGACTTCATGTATTAGGTCATGAATTACTGGACACTGAATTATAACCATGGAAAAATAAGATTACTCTATTAAGTGACTCAGTATATTGTTCTCTCTTCCAGTTAAGAATGGGGAAAATATACTAAAAACACCATATGACATATTGTAAACCAAAGAGGAGCTATACTACTCCATAAAGTATCTTTCAGCACTGTCACTTAATAGCAAAACGCATGGAATAGAATGAAAAGAGTCCTTTATGGATCTACACTGTATGACCAGTATAACATGATCGTTTAAAGGTACAGTTCTGTTATACAATTCTCATAATGGTAATGGGGAAATTACTGACTTCTGTGAAGAAACATTTATGTAAATAAACCCAAATACTCTCCTAGGCATCCACTGTTGCAAAAGGGACTTTTAAACTGTGAAACAGATTTAAAACACATATTGTTTGGGGTATTTGTTTTACTTTACTAGCTGAGCAAGTAAGGCTGATCTCACCTTGCTTAAATCACTCACCCTCCTACTTAAAACTTCCAACGGTGCCCAGTGCAATTAAAATCAAGTCAAACTCTTTACCCTCATCTATGAGCCACTATAAGATGGTCTCTTGAGGTTGCCTGCCCATTGTCCAACTCCTTCCCCCAAATTCAACCATGCCCCAAGTCACTTTGTCTCCCACAGAGTCTATTCTTTGTTCTCTAATCCCTAGCCTAGGCTGGCACATAATAGGTGTTCAGATCTTTTTCAACAAATAAATAAAACCTACTCATAATTTAAACCGGGGTTCAGCAGCCCTTCTAGAACAAGTCTGAAAAGATACATATCAAAAAATAGTTTCCTTTTCATAGGGATTAGGAACCAGCCTTGTCTGCAATTCATTTTTTTTCACATGTACTAATTTGTTGCTTGTATAAATAACAATCTTTTTAAAAAACTGTGCTAGGGAGATGCCTGCGTGGCTCAGTCAGTTAAGCTTCTGCCTTCGGCTCAGGTCATGATCCCGAGGTCCTGGAATGGAGTCCTGAATTGGGCTCCCTGCTCAGCAGGGAGCCTACTTCTCCCTCTCCCTCTGCCTGCCGCTCCCCCTGTTTGTGTGCTCTCTCTCTCTCTGACAAATAAATAAAGAAAATCTTAAAAAAAAAAACTGTGCTAGGAAGTGTCTACCACATGTTTATGTTAATCTTTCAGGCTGTTGGCTATAGCCTAAGGAAACAGGTTAACAGTTAAAAACTGTATTTTCTATCTTAACATAATTTAAATGCCCACATATTTTTCTAATAGACCATAACTTTGTTTGTAACCAGTAGTTAGGGCAATTTCTTATAGCTTTGGATCTGTATTCTTTTTATAACAAGTGGGCTGAAAACATGCAAAATTATACGTTAGTAAAAGTTAAGGTCACATTAAAAGAACCTATATCAGGAGAGGTCAAGTTTAAAAAACAATGTAAGTACTACAATGCTAAATCATTCAGCACTAACAAATTATTTTTCTACCTTCCCTATTATATCATATTTTGATCACCTATTTTTTCTTTCCACTTTTCTATGTTGGATGTCAGTCCTGAGCCAGCCACGTGCCCCTAATCATCAGAATTTTTAAAAGCTGCTCAGGTGACTCCAAATGTGAACTAAAGTTTGAGAATCACCACTTTAAACCAAGAGCTCTTAAATAAAAATGGTGAGGAGGGAGGATTGGATTGATTTCAGAATCTATGATCATTATAAAGCTGTATGCAAAATTCTGTGTATTTTTCTAGGCCCATAATGTCTGTTTTTTTTTTTTTAGACGTTTTCCCCAATAAAAAACCAAACCTGTCTTTGAAATGTAGTCTTCCTACTATTTTATAGGCACTTGATAATAATTTGGTCTACATCTTAGTCTCCTCTATGAAAGATGCATGAACCAAATGAATAACTAGAGTTTGGTGTCTCATGAAACCAAGTGCAGTTAGTGTTCAAAGACAAGGAGAAGAGAACCAATAGCTATTGAGGCCTACTGTATGCCAAATACTTTGGCATTACATTAGCTCCTTTATCTTCACAATTATGTTACGTGGGTATTATTGTTCCTATTTCACAGATGAGAAAATTGAATCAAAGAGTAACTTGCTAAAGCCATACTAAGGGGTGAAGCCAGGAATCAAACTCAAGTCTGATTCCAAAGACCACACTTGATGGCTATGCCAGACTGTAGTTCTCAAACTTTAGAGTGCCTGGAAGCACTGATTAAAACACAGAGGGCTGGACCCACCCTCAGAATTTCTGATTCAATAGGTCTGTAGTGGAGTTGAAAACCTTGCATCTCTATCAAGTTCCTAGGTGATTCTGATACTGTTGGTCAGGCTACCACACTTTGAGAAACAATTGCCATTCATTAAGTATTAATTAAATGCCTAATATATGGTAGGAACAGGGGAATATCACATTTTAGACCCTGGGGAAACAGTGGGTAATAAGACAAAGTCCATGCCCTCATGGATCTTACATTCTAGTGGGGAAAACTGACAGAAAAACAATTGTTAAAAAAGATGTAATGCCGGGTAATAAATCCTTTGACAAAAAAGTCAAGCAATGTAAGGGGGTGGGGGATCAAACTAAATAGAGTCAGGAAAGGCCTTTCTGGGTACCACTGGGGAAGAGAACTGGATGAAGTGAGAAAGTGAGCTATGGAACCTTCTGGAAGAAAAGCATTCCAGGGACGCCTGGGTGGCTCAGTTGGTTGAGCATCTGCCTTCGGCTCAGGTCATGATCCTAGGGTCCTGGGATCGAGTCCCGCATCAGGCTCCCCGCTCAGCGGGAGGCGGCTTCTCCCTCTGCCTCTGTCGCTCTCCCTGCTTGGGCTCTCTGTCTCTTTCTCTCTGACAAATAAATAAAATCTTTAAAAAAAAAAAAAAAAAAGAAAGCATTCCAAGCAGAGGTAAGGAGCATCAAGGTCACTGCAGCAAGGGGTCAGTTTGTGCACAGCATTGTAAACTACGTTAAAGACTGTGACTATTACAATGAGGATGATGAGAATACTAGAATGCTAACAAAGATACCACATTTCATGACTACTAAAAGTCTTACCTATTACATAATACGGCTTGTGCAGAGGATTCCAATAAAGTTAATGGCGTTTGAAGCATTATAAGTGGAAGGACTTTTGGTTGTTCAAAAGTATTTCCAAAAAGATCCAAGTACTCAAGGGATAAATTTTTAAATTCACTAGGCAAAAAGGGAAGCTTATTTCGAGCTGCTGACAAAAAACGCAGTTTTGTCAACTGTCCCATCTTGAAAGGAAATCGAATCAATTCATTATCATCAAGTTTCAAATCTGTAAGTTCTCGGAGATGGCAAAACTGCACAGGGAGTGCCTTGATTTTGTTCTTGCTGAGATCCAAACTCCGAAGTGACGTCTGGAGTGTAGACTGACACAAGGCTACACTAAATGACTCCAAGTGATTGTCATTCAGGTTAAGTTCTTGAAGATGGATGAGGTCTCCAACTGTAGCAGGAAGCTTTTTTATATGGTTGTGACTCAAGTCTAATTTCCTTAGGTTTCTTAAGCAAAGCATACGCATATCAATTCGGACAAGCCCACAATAAGAAGTCTGAAGATGTTCCAGAGAATATGGGAAGTTCTTGCTTAGAGGATAGTCCTTTTTGGATGTGATAACCATTTTAGTTTTCAATTTTTCAAATTCTGAAGTCTTCACTGGTGTGAAGGTTGAAAGTGGTACTTCAATATCACAACCTCTATGAGCCAGTCTCACAGCTGAAAGGAAACTCTTTAAACTACTGGAATTGGCCTGAATAAATAAAAATAAGTCGTACAATTATAAACTCCATTTTAGATAATACATGCATGCTAATGCATCCTATAACAAATTCTGTAAAGTTATACATGCAAAATGGTGCAATCATTTCTTGAAAATGGCTGTAAAAATAAATTTTTAGTATTTTATTTTGACTAAAATTCAATATAGATACAAAAACTGAAAATTTTTGAAAAAAGATTATGTTGAAAGACACACTCTAAATAAAACCATTCAAAGGGGAACCAAAAGGGCATAAAATAAGACGAGAAAGCATGAAAAGATTCCACTTAAGACTTGGGTTTGAGGCGCCTGGGTGGCTCAGTTCTTAAGCGGCTGCCTTCGGCTCAGGTGATGGTCCCAGGGTCCTGGGATCGAGCCCCGCATTGGGCTCCCTGCTCGGCGGGGAGCCTGCTTCTCCCTCTGCCTGCCGCTCCCCCTACTTGTGCTCTCTGTCAAATAGATAAATAAAATCTTAAAAAAAAAAAAAAAAAAAAAAAAAGATGGGTTTAAGATGAACTGAGACAGGGCACCTGGCTGGCTTATTTGGTGAAGCCTGCAGCTCTTGACCTTGGGGTTGTGGGTTCAAGCCCCACATTGGGTGTAGAGATTACTTAAAATCTTTAGGGGCGCCTGGGGCTTAAGCTTAAGTCCGTTAAGCATCTGACTCTTGGTTTTGGCTCAGGTTGTGATCTCAGGGTCACGAGATCAAGCCCCACATGGGCCTCCGAACTCAGCTTGGAGTCTGTTTGAGATTCTCTCTTCCTCTCTCTCTGCCCTTCCTGCTAGTGCTCTCTCTAAAATAAATAAGTAAATCTTTAAAAAAAAATTTATTTTAATGGTTTAAGTATTTTCTAAAATGATAATAAACAAAATAGCCCCCAAATTTTCCTAATTGCATTTTATCTTCTTTTTTTACACCAAATTTAGATTTGCAACCTGATTATGTTGGCAAAATGTAGACTTGTGCCACTGGCCTGATAGAGTTCCCCTCTAAGAACACTCTAAGGCTCTCTGGAGCACAGAAGTAAGTCATTCTCCTTCCTCCCCATCCTGCATAGCCTTACTAGGCTCTCTGCACCTTCAGAGCTGGGCCAGCATGCCAGAGAAGCTGCCATTGCTTCTTCAAACACATCTGCCAAGTGTCCATCCCTATTCAGCTAAGTGGGATATCAGGATGCTCAAACAGCCTCTTCTATAAAGAAAATACAGCCAACCAACCTAACCATTAATGTTTTTCATACCATACCTTACTTAGACAGATATCCACAGGAGGCTCCTTTAACCGAACAGTAGCTTTCCCCTCATCCATAAATTTGGTGAAGAATTGCTCAATGTTCTCCTTTAGCTGTTTAAAACCAATGAGAAAAAAAGGACAAAACCAGGTATTGTTATTCAATAATATTTATTACAACTAGAAAGTGCCAGTCACTTTGCCAGGCTTTTAATCAAGTCTGGGTGTTTTGTGGTTTTAAGTTTTAGTTTTAATTTCATTGTTTTTTCTTTTTCTAGCATTTGGGTAGCTACATTTCTTATCTACCTTCTGGTAGATATTACTGTTTTATCAGCCCAGTAACCCTTTCCTGTTAATCTCGTTTGGGAGAAGGCTCCTCTTCTCCCATTCCAACTATGTGACCGTAGTAGGAGCTGCCAATAGTAGTTACTTGCCTTCTTAACTTCAGTCCATTAGTCTCGAGTGGACACACCTCCCACAGGATTATAAACTCCATGAAAGCAGGAATCTTGTTTCCTTTGTTCACTACTGTATCCACGGAACCAAAACAGTGACCAACACATAACAGGTGCTCAAAAACTTTTTTTTTTTAAAGATTTTTATTTATTTTTTGACAGTGAGAGAGACAGCGAGAGAGGGAACATAAGCAGGGGGAGCCGGAGAGGAAGAAGCAGGCTTTCCGCCGAGCAGGGAGCCAGATGCGGGGCTCGACCCCAGGACCCTGGGATCATGACCTGAGCTGAAGGCAGACACTTAACGACTGAGCCACCCAGGCGCCCCATGTGCTCAAAAACTTTTAATGACAAATGTTGCTTTGGCTTTAGACTTCAACAGCTATTTGCTGAGAAGCCACTCTGTACCAGGTACTATGACAGGGGGCTTGAAACAATAGTAGTGAATAAAACCAACATGGTAATTACATTTATAAAGTTTATAAAGCTGTCAGTCTGATGAAAGACAATTATTAAATAAGTAATTACAAGCAACAAATATTAAGATAAGGGAAGTACAGATTGCTCTAAGACCTTATATAGCAAAGGAATCTTACCTGGTCTAGGGAAAAGAAGGTGACCTTAAAGGTGAGAACTGAAGGATCAGGAGATGTTGAGCAAGTGAAGATACTGGGGAAAGAGAGGGAATAGTACACCGATAAGGAAAAATGTATGCAAAGCCTTGAAGGCAAGAGAGTTCGGAAGCTGTGAGGAGCTGAAAGTTCAGTATGGCTAAAGGATTCAGTGAAGAGGCAAGTGAACCTGGACAGGTAGAGGCTGAATGGTGGAATATTTTGCAAACCATGTCAAGAATTTTGGGGCGCCTGTGTGGCTCAGTTGGTTGAGTGACTGCCTTTGGCTCAGGTCATGATCCTGGACTCCCTGGATTGAGTCCCACATTGGGCTCCCTGCTCAGTGGGGAGTCTGCTTCTCCCTCTGACCCTCCCCCTCCATGCTCTCTCTCTCAAATAAATAAATAAAATATAAAAAAAAAAAAAAGAATTTTGGATTTTATTCTGCAAATGATATCCACTGAATGACTTGAAGCTGGGAACATAGATCTTCATTTTACTAAGTTCCCTTTAACCACAGTGTAAGGGGCGCCTGGGTGGCTTAGTTGGTTGGGCGTCTGCCTTTGGCTTGGGTCATGATCTCAGGGTCCTGGATCAAGCCCTGTGTCAGGCTCCCTGCTCAGCGGGGAGCCTGCTTCCCTCCTTCTCTCTGTCAAATAAAATCTTAAAAACAACAACAACAGGGGCGCCTGGGTGGCTCAGTTGGTTAAGTGACTGCCTTCGGCTCAGGTCATGATCCTGGAGTCCCGGGATCGAGTCCCGCATCAGGCTCCCTGCTCAGCGGGGAGTCTGCTTCTCCCTCTCCCGCTCCCCCCTCTCATGTGCTCTCCCTCTCTCATTCTCTCTGTCTCAAATAAATAAATAAAATCTTTAAAAAAACAAAACAAAACAAAACAACAAAAAGCACAGTGTAAGAATGAACTTTGGGGGAGGGGAGATTGGGATGGGGCTGGGTAGAGATAGGAGTACCTTTTAAGAGACTAGCCAAGCAAGGGGTAATGGTGGCTTAGACTGCATGGGGATGGAAGGAGGTATGAAAATCTGAAAGATACCTAGGAGGTAGAATTGAAAGGATTCAATATTTTATTAGATACGGGAATGCAAAAGCTTTAAGGTTTCTGGATAGAACAGAGCACTATTTTTTTTTTAAGATTTTTATTTATCTAGGGGCGCCTGGGTGGCTCAGTTGTTAAGCGTCTGCCTTCGGCTCAGGTCATGATCACAGGGTCCTGGGATCGAGTCCCGCATCGGGCCCCCTGCTCAGCCAGGAGCCTGCTTCTCCCTCTCCCACGCCCCCTGCTTGTGTTCCCTCTCTCCCTGTCTTGCGCTCTCTCTGTCAAATAAATAAATAAGAATTAAAAAAAAAAAGATTTTATTCATCTATTTGAGAGAGAGAGAGACTGAGGTGGGGAGGGGCAGAGGGAGAGGGAGAAGCAGACTCCCCTCGGAGCCTGACTCAGGGCTTGATCCCAGGACTCCGGGATCATTACCTGAGCCAAAGGCATATGCTCAACCAACTGTGCCACCCAGGCACCCCAAGAGCAGAGCACTATTTAATGAGTTGCAGAACACCATCAGAAAAGCAAATTTAGGGGTGGCAAAGAAAATTAATTTTTGGATATCTTAGTTTGAAATGCTACAACACATCTAAGTGAAGATTTCCAATTGATGAGGTTCAAGTTGGAAATTAAGGGAGAGGACTAGCTAAAGATACAGATTTAGAAATCATAGTGAGATGGGCAGTAAGTGAACCATGGAATGGAAAAGTTGGTGTAAGAAAGATCCCCAAGGTTCTGCCACACTTAGCACTAATACCTAGTCTTCAGGACCCAGGACCAACACCACTTTAATTCATCCAACAAATGTTTACTGAGCACCTACTATGTCCCAAGCCCTGTGCCACCATCTCTTCTACAAAACCTTTCTCGGGGGCCTGGGTGGCTCAGTCGGTTAAGTGTCTGCCTTCAGCTCTGGTCATGATCTCAGGGTCCTGGGATCGAGTCCCGCATCGGGCTCCCTGCTCAGCAGGGAGACTGCTTGTCCCTCTCCGTCTGCCCTGCTCATGCTCTCTCTCTTAAATAAAAATAAGTAAAATCTTAAAAAAAAAAAACAAACCCAACTTTTTCAAGCCTCTGTAATCAAATCCATTTTGCTTTTTGATACTATACTATTCTACTTCTACCTTTATTATAGCATTTATCATAGCCCACCTTGTATTGTAAGCACTGGTTTCTATTTCTTCCTTTCTAGTCTTGGAAGGATAGTGACTAAATCAAGTTTATCTCCCACAGCATCTAGCACTGCATCTTGCACACAGTAAACCTTCAACTCGCAGTTCACAATAAACTTTTGATTAGGATTACCACCTACAATCATTAGTGCACCTTAAGTTTTAAGGAAGAGATCATTACAGCCTTTTTAAAAATAGACAATACTTGAGCTGGGCATGAAAGAGGTTTGGGGGAAGACGATGGTGAAGAGGAGACAATTCTTGTTATGAGTTGGCTTCTGTCACCTTACAGTTTTCTAACCTATAAAATGTTGAGTGATTGCTTAAGTCTTTTCAAAGTGAAAGATTATATGAGTTGATTCCATGAAGAGGGAGAAATTACTTACACTTTCAACTGTCTATATCAATTACTAAGTGTCTCTGAATGAGATGTAATAAACCCTTCCGTCAACTAAGAGTATTCACTGTGGAGTACAACACTATGAGGTCAATAATCCCAGAAACTGTATAAAATCCAGACAAGAGTCTGATGCAAGGGTGGGAGATGAGTTGCCCCCTCAACTTTATTTATAGTAGACACAAGGGTATTCCAGTCATTTTGACAAAATAACATAGTGCCCTGTAAAATGAGGAAAAAAGAATTTTATAAAACTTGTGTTTTGAAAATTCTATTTCAACTTTCAACTGTTTTTAGTTTACTACTGCTATGCAGATGAGAAAAAGCCCTGGCCCTAGAAAATCAAGTCTTAGGAAATTAAACATTTAAGGAGAAAAAAGAAAGAGAGAGAGATGCAGTAACCAGTAACATTAATAAAAATATCAAGATGCAACACAAAGCTTTACTGCTTTACTACTGTACTAATCTGGTCTAACGACCTTGGATACTATTCATCAGAACTTAAAGCCTTAAAAAAAAAAAAAGGCGAAAATACTGTGGGAGAAAAAAACTTATTGAACGAAAGTGCAATTATTTTACTGGTCCCCCAAACTGGAATGCTGTTTCATTTAAAGTTTAGTTTCACACAGGCCGAGTTTCCAGAGGCTTTAAAAGGGCAGGGTTACTATCTACTACTAAACAGAAAGGGTGTCAATTTAAAGCCAAAGAAATGGGAAAGAAAAACAAGAAGGGGCCCTCTCAAAAGCTTTCCTCTTTCGGGTCCACAGGCAGACGCCCAGAACTCGGGAGTGGTGGTGGGGCTCAGATATCCGCCCCCAGGACAGGCTCCAGCCTCTGGAACGGGCGAGCAAGCGAGACCCGAAGGGGAAGAGCTCATGGCCAACTCCCGAGGCAGGGCCGGTTCGGTCCACGCACCTCATAGCGGGTCCCGCGCTTGTCCTTCAGGGTGGAGATGAGCAGGCAGGGGGGGTGCGGGCCGCCTCGATCGCCCCGAGCCCCAGCCCGAGGCTGACTCCTGGGCGTCTGCTGACAGAGGCTCAACACCGCCCGGACACCCTTACCCCGGTTCCTCATTCCCAGAGCCGGCAAATGTCGACTGACTACCTCGACCTCGCAGTGCAGCTTCATTTCGCCCGAGCAGCGATAGCCAAGTCCACAACTCTGCTTTGAAACTGCCCCCTTCCCGCCGCGCCGCGCCGCCGCCGGGGTCCTGGAGCGCGCGGGCTGTCCCCGGATCTGCCTGCCTGCTCGGCGTGACAACAGCTCGGGTTTTCTCAGAACAGCGGCTCTATAGGTCTGCGGGGGCGACGGCCTTCCCTTTCACTTGCAGGGTCGAGTCCTCACTGTGGCTGCCGGTCGGCGGAGCGCGGATACCGGCCGCCTGAGAACTCGGTTCGCGCCTCCCGATGCCGGCGACTGTCGAAGGCGCAACGTCCTATCCCAGGAACGCTTGCGGCTGGCGGCGCAGGTGGTTATTGTTTGGGGCGGAGTTCTAGTTTCCGCTGTTGACACTTAACGGGTTTCCTGCACTTGTTGGGTCGTTGAGTTTCCCAAAGCGAAGCGGGTGCCCCTCTGTTAAAGGGAAAGTCTCTTTACCTACATAGCTTCGGAACTTGGGACTTTACGGGTTGCCCATTGCCAGCCAGGGCGCGGCATTTCCCGGAGCTGATGGATTGGTGTTTGTTTTGTTTTTGGTGGCTCCCCTCCGGAGGCAACACCTGTCACGTCAGAACTGAATTTGATAGGACAATATTTGACTTGGCAATTTCTGTCGAACAAATGCCCACTTTGTAACCGCTACTACGTTGGATGGAGTCACTGGCTTAACTGCATCTGACACTTGGAAAGACCGTCCAGACCCCATATGCCCTTCGGTCTCCTTATTACATTTATTAATGGAGGGCCAGGCCGTAGGTGGGGCGAGGGAGGCGCTCTCAAGGACCTAGTCTTGTCTCCTTAAATTTTGTGCCCTAGGCGCCTCTCTCACCTCACCCTAGTCCCGGCCTTTTATTAAACGTTCATTTCATTTGAGCTGTACTTTAGCAAATTTACAGAAATACCGATTTTCAATTCAATTGTGACAATATAATGATTTATCCTTAAGTGAGCATCCGTGTATACAGCATGTTGAACCTAAAGTGTTCTCTGTTGATTCTAATTCTGAAAAACGTAATTGGTTCTTAAAAATCAGTGATTAATGGGGCGCCTGGGTGGCTCAGTCGTTAAGCGTCTGCCTTCCGCTCGGGTCATGATCCCGGGGTCCTGGGATCGAGCCCCGCATCGGGCTCCCTGCTCCGCTGGAGGCCTGCTTCTCCCTCTCCCACTCCCCCTGCTTGTGTTCCCTCTCTCGCTGTGTCTCTTTCTGTCAAATAAATTAAAAAAAAAAATCAGTGATTAATAAAGCACTACTTTTTTTCCCCCTATTTACTCTTCTTGCATGTAGAGTAGGAAAACACGACTCCGCATTTAGCAACAGTTTGTCTCATGGCCAGAGGGAAACAAGACTAAACTAAAACGACACCTTAGAGTTTTCAAAGACAGACTTTATAGGGATTACCCACTTTTGTTCTTTGAGTTCTTTGAGTAAAACAAAATAATAAAACATCAGCCTAAATCATGACAGGTACATCAAATATACTCTGAACTTCCAGGGACAGTTGGGAGCTGGGAAAATCTTAAATGTGTAAACTGATGTAATTTTAATTAGAATAGAAATGTACAAAAACCAAGAATACAACAACAATAACAAAGCCTCAACCTTCTATTTGGTGTTACCTGGGTTACTGAAGCACAGATTCAGTGATCAGATGTTAAATAATCTAAATATATGAAAGTTACTTAACAGCTCCAAGGTGATTTTAGAGTAGAACAATGGTGTTGATTTAGTTTTTTTTTTTTTTTTTAAGATTTTATTTATTTATTTGAGAGAGAGAGAATGAGAGAGAGAAAGCACATGAGAGGGGGGAGGGTCAGAGGGAGAAACAGACTTCCCGCGGAGCAGGGAGCCCGATGTGGGACTCAATCCCAGGATTCCAGGATCATGACCTGAGCCGAAGGCAGTGGCTTAACCAACTGAGCAACCCAGGCGCCCTGATTTAGTTTTTGAATGTTGTTGGTGGTGATGGGATATGGAGTCCACCGCCAAGAAAGAATTCTTGAGAGGTCTTCCATGCAAAATGGTGGTTTTATTAAACCGTGGGGACAGGCCCCATGGGCAGAAAGAGCTGCCTCAGCAGCTACCTGCTGTTCCCCACTGCCCCAGGATTATGAGGAGCAAGTGATTATATACGTTGGGGTTAGGGGAAGTAAAGATAAGGAAGGTTCCAAAAGGACTTTCATATGTTAAAGAAGACTCAAGATCCCAGAAGAATGTTACAATCTGCCTATCTCAAGTATTTGTCAATGGGCTGTCGGTGATAAGGAGATTTAATTTTATCTACATTTCCTTTTGCCTTTGTTCCCCACATCGTGTGCACAGCCAAAAACTTATCTTCCTAATTGCCAGATTCTCAAAGATGTGTGCTTCCCAAAATATATAAATAAGATTATCTTATTAAGATCACATAAAATAATATTGGACTGAAAGTAAAATAAACATATATCAGTTTTTGAGATCTCATCTCTCTCCCTACCCCCCAGCTTCCCCTTAGATTCCCCATTTTTAATGACTGACATATTTGGATATGGCATTTATTTTGGTCTTTCTGGACTGTTTATGCAGCAAAAGATTCTTTAGGGGTGCCTGGCTGACTCAGTTGGTGGAGCATGGGACTCTTGATCTCAGGGTAGTAAGTTTGAGCCCCACATTGGGTGTAGAGATTATTAAAAAAAAATTCTTTGATTACCTATCCACACTTCTGTCTTTACGGCCATACAAATAAAGTCTGCCTGTTGATCTCCTCTACCCTTAATTACCTCAAGCTAGTTTGAATTGCAGACTGACTGAACATGGAAATACAAGGCATTTTAAAGTGGGCTACAGTTTTTAACAAAAGGAATCAAAGAAATGACATCTAGATTAGTTTTCCTTCTGTAAAATTGGTTCCTCTTCTTCCTGGCCTACATACTACACTTATTCCCTCCCCTCTGTTTTCTTCATACTAATTGATCCTGTTCATCTTTCAAAACCCAGTTCAGTTTCCACTAGCTATCTTTAACAACTTATTCTTCTTTTTTGGAGTTTGAAAATTCAATTGCACTTAAAATTACCTTTCATTTCCTTTATTTTCCCGGGTTTCTGGTGCATACCGGATCCAACAATTAATTCATTGAATCTCTGATTTCCCCCTTCATTTGTACTTGTAGTAAACTTTACTCACTTAGGTTTGTGGCTCACTTGGGTTCAAACTAGTAAATCATAGTCACATCATATTATGAAACAGTGAGGTCATAATCTATGGACAGTGTAGATTTGTCTTCCCTAGCACATTGGGACCAGATCTTAGATTTGGTTTTTTAAATCATAAACTTCATTAAATTAAAAAAAGCTAAATAGTTAACAAACATACACTTAAGCATTAGACCTATATAGTGCTACCTTGCCCCTGTTGATGCTCCTTAATTAGATCTTATAAGTTGTGTTTCCACAATGATTTCCTAATTAATATCCACCTTTCCCTTGTTAGTGCTACCATGTCAGTTGAGAGCTGCATTACTTCCCTCCAGAACTATTCCTAAACTTACCAGGTCTTACTTCAATACTTATTCATTCATTTAATATTTATAGTGTTCTTGATGTATGCCAGCACCTATTTTAGATGTTTAGAAGGCAGAGATGATTTTGCAGTGTTTAGGAGAGATGTTATACTACAATGGGATAAATGTCAGACATTAGAGGAATATAAAGTAGCCAGATGATGAAAAGAATTTGTTTGCTAAGCCAGGGCCTTTGAACTTTAGCCTGAAAGTACTGAGAAACATTGAAAAATTTCAACAGAGGATAAAATTCAGACCTATTTAGGAAAGGTTACTGTGGTCAGTAAAGAGATTACTTTGGAGGTAGAGCAAGTCTAGAGGCAGGGATCAGCTAAAAGTCTAATGCAATGATCCACCATCTACACTACTGCCACATTAAATCCTTTTAAAGAGTCTCCTGTCATAGAATCTGAACTTTGAGAGCTGAGACACAGTTTAAAGATATTCCAATTCGATTCTTTCATTTTTCACAAAGGGAATAGAGGCTGAAAAGAGTAAAGGGATTTGCTCATGACCTCTAGATAGTCAGTGTTACAACTAATAGTGCTAGAACTCAAGGTTGCAATCAACTTCTTCCAAACTCCTGATCATGTTGATACTTTGACCTCTCCCCATAAATCACAAATGTTCTTAATGGCATCTAGAATAGTGAATCCTTTCCAGGAGGTTTTCAATTTACTTTCCCCAGATCCAATGGAGGAATTGTTATATATGGCTGCCATAGCCTTACAAAATAGATTTCTTAAATAAAAAGGCTTGAAAGTTGAAATGATTCCTTTGATCCATGGGCTGCAGAATGAATGTTGTGTTAGCAGGCATGAAAATAACATTAATCTCATTGTACCTCTCCATCAGAGCTCTTGGGTGACCAGGGGTATTTTCAATGAACAGTCATATTTTGAAAGGAATCCTTTTTTTCTGAGTATATGTCTCAACAGTGGGCTTAAAATATTCAGTAAACCATGTTCTAAATGGATATGCTGTCATCTAGGCTTTGTTGTTCCATTTATAGAGCACAGGCAGAATAGATTTAGTGCAATTCTTTTTTTAAAGATTTTATTTATTTATTTGAGAGAGAATGAGAGAGCACATGACAGGGGGGAGGGTCAGAGGGAGAAGCAGACTCCCTGCCGAGCACGGAGCCCGATGTGGGACTCGATGCGGGACTCGATGCGGGACTCGATGCGGGACTCCAGGATCATGACCTGAGCTGAAGGCAGTTGCTTAACCAACTGAGCCACCCAGGCGCCCCAGATTTAGTGCAATTCTTAAAGGCTCTAGGATTTTTGGAATGGCCAGTGAGCATTGGTTTCAACATTAAGAACTACTTGAATATCAAGATAGGTTTAACAGATTATTCAAGTGTAATAATTGTTTCTTGTTTGTCCTTTTCCTTTTTGCTTTTAAATGAGTTCACATTTCTTTAGGCCCAAAGGATTCTATATCAAAGTGTTGAAATATTTATGGATTTGATCTCAGAACCATTGTAATCTTTTAAAAATTATGTACACAAGCTAGGAAAGGTCTGAGAAGCCTGTAGGTGGGGAAATGTTAGATTAACTTTTGAGAGGCACATGAATTTTGGAAACTACACATCAATGACTGATATAAATTCTAGGAAAACTGTGGAAGTTTGACATTGGACCCTCTACAATCAGGCTTTATGATAAAATACGTTTGTTTTATCTATCACTAAGGTTTTTGTGCATCCTCAACTCTAGTTATACAAGATTGTTCACC